CTCAAGGGCTGGGACACCAGGTGCAGTCCGGAGGCTCCAGTCTTCACCAGCAGGAGGTGAGTGAGACCTGTCCACGCCCAGCCCTCCAGCAGTGGGGTGGGAACCCTCGCTGCTGCCCTGCCCCTGCCCCTGCCCAAGCCACTGAATTCAGACATGTGCAGTGATAGTGGCTGCTGGTTCTGCCTCCCCTGGGAAATAGAGGCATCTATTAGGGTTTTTTCATCAGAACAACTTCAGGTTGAAACTTTCTTCTCTGTGTCCTTTAACACAATAAACCAAGTGCTGACTTCCAGATGTGAAGAAGGTGGTAGTTTCTTTCTAAAAAAGAATCCTGATTTATACTTTTATTTTGGCAATTTTTGTGTGTCTTAAGTTTGGATATATTATTATGGAATGTTTTTTAGAAAATATTTTTTCTCCACTGGTTAGTTATTTGAAGTGATCTCTTTTCTATCTTATTTTTAAAAATGGTTAAAACAATATACATAGCTCTCCAGTGGAATTCTGTATATAAACTTAAATTACACTGGGGACCATGGCTATGGAAATACTAATTTTGGGAGTAAAGTCTCCTGGGAATGGAGGTGTTCTGCTGGAATTCTTAGGGCCTTTGAGCAGCAGTGTATGGGGTAAATATTACTAGAAAATACTTGTGCTGAGAGATGATGTGAGTAGGAGTTTTGTCCCTGGGAAGGCTGTTGGACTCAGTAGATGAAAATCTGCTTGGGTAGGTCACTGGACTGAAATTTTGAGCTTACCTCTCCTGAGACACCTTGATGAAATAATGAAGACTCAAAATCCTTTAAATTCAAGGGAGAAGCCCTTCTCAAAATGCTGTCTCTTCCCTCTGCAGACATTCCATGGGTGTGTGCAGCATTCAGTGCAGTCCCCACCGGGAGAATCTCCTGGCCACAGGCAGGTGAGGCCCTTCCAGCTGCTCTCCCCTGGTGTGCCCAACCCATTCAGGCTGCTGCCTCTGCAGGAATTCCATGTGGTGCAGAGCATGTGGCCTTTCCTACCTTTGTTCTGTGCCCTGACCTGGCTGTGCTTTTCTGCCTGTCGGTGTTGTGTCCCCAGCTACGACGAGCACGTGCTGCTGTGGGACACCAGGAACATGAGGCAGCCTCTGGCTGACACCCACGTGGAAGGTGGGGTGTGGAGGCTGAAGTGGCACCCCACGTGTGACTTCGTGCTCTTGGCAGCCTGCATGCAGAGTGGCTTCAAGATCCTGGACTGCCGCGGGAGCCTGGGTGAGTGTCTGGGGAGCAGAGGTGCTCCAGGGCTGCTCTGTGTGCTCCTTCACTGCCCCCAGGTTCGTGGGGAGCTCCAGCTCCTGCTGGAAGGACTGAGATGGTCTTAATAGCCATCTGTTCCAGTTTGAGGTAACTTCCAGCTTTTCCACATCTGGGCACTCTTTTGGTCTGCTTGGTTGTGCCAAGGCCCTGTCACTGTGAGTGTGTAAATCTCCCAAAGCTTTTTTTCACGGGAGGAAAGCCTTTGTGGTTGGTGTGAGGGCACAACCACTCTGGGTTTGTGTGCATTGTGCTGGTTCAGAGAGGTGCTTCTGACTGTCAGGTGGTGCTTTCCTGTTAGCAGGAGTCACTGACCTGCTGGGGAGACAGTTATTGCCTCAGGAAGGAAGTGCTCTGCAGCCTGGTTAATCCAGAATAACATGAATAAGCCCTTCATGTGAATGATGAGGTACTTCATGGTGGAAAAGCCCTTTGCATTCACATTACAAATGCAATCTGACAGAGGATGGCTGGGCTCCTGGGATCTCCAGACCTTGGCCAGATCAACAGCTTAGGAAATGAGGGTGGCATTTCTCCTGTGTGGGGAAGGAAGGAACTCACTGTGAGAGTCAATGCAGTGTGTTAATAACCAGGACCTGGAAATCCCCCAGGTGTGTTCATGGCCCAGTTAAGGTTGTGGTGTGATCAGTCTTGTCCATCTTGAGCCTTTGTAAACACTTCAAATAAGGATGCTCTTTAATCTCATGCATGTTAAACCCTCTTCTCCTCTGCTACTGACCCAGGAGGAATCAAGGCCATTGAGAGGTGGCTGAAAAATGGTCAGTACCTCATTCCTCCTGGAATGCTTCACTCAGTGGTGAAGAAGGGAATAACCAGAGAACTCTGCCATGAGACACAGCCAGTGCTGGAATGGCTGCTGAGCACTCTGCCACAACCCACAACTTGATTTCTAAGTAATTTCATTTATCTTTTTTTTTTTCAAGCGGAAAACACAGAGGAATGTATCATCCTGTCATCCTATGTCCTGCACAATTCCTTGGCCTATGGGGCTGACTGGTCAAGGCTGTGTCCAAGGGATTCCCTGCCTGCCATCCAGGACCCTGCTGCTGCGTGCCAGCCTCAGGAGGAGCTCGTGGGAGCATCAGGGCAAGGAGATGAGAGGCTGAATTTGCAGGTCCAGAACCTGAAGATAATTTATGAATCTCCTACAGCTACTTTTGATGTAATCCTGGATGAGGAGAGTGAAAGCCCTGCTGTGGCACTCACAGCAGGGGCAGGGCCAAAGCTGGCTGGGGATCCTGGACTGCTCAGGGGCTCTGGTTTAAAGGGAGGTTTAGATTTGGCTGCCCAAGGGGCAGATCTGGGGTCAGCCAGCAGCTCTGACTCAGGAGCCAAGAGAGCCAATGGAATGGGCCTGGACAGAGGCAGTGACTCAGCCAGGTCTCCAGACAGCCCCAAAGAAATGAGCATTGTGGCCACTTGTTCTTTCTATGACAACATCCTCCATGTCTGGAGGTGGGAGATGAGCCTGGTGACCCCTCCAGATGTGCCAAGTCCTAGATCTCCATCCAAAGGAACAGCTGAAAGTTTGCATTGACCAGCCCCAATGGAAGAGGGAGGAAAACTCCTGAACTGAGAGTGACAGCTGAGCCTAATGCCCTGACTTCTGCTGGCCTTTGCCATCTTACTGCTGAGCTTGGGAGTCCTCCAAGGCCAACACTGCTGGGATTCCTCAAGTTCTGTTTTCAGCACAGGGAAGCCTTTGCTTAGAGGCCTGTGGTTATGGCCAAGACAGGTTTATTTAGTTTTTCCCTTAATGTCCCAGTTCCTCTCACAGGCTGCTGCTTTGTACCTCAGATCTGACTCCTTTCAAGGCTGGTTTGCATTTCACAATGGATCTGTCAGGCCCCTTCTCCTCCTTCCCTCACAAACCAGACTTGGCTGTGCTGCTGTGCAGACCCAGGAAGTGATCAGAAGGTTTCCTGAATGTCTCAGAAAAGCCCCTGGGCAGAGGCTTGGCTGTGTGATGGGAGGAGAGCTCAGACAGGCCAGATGCAGTGCAATGTGCTCACAGTGATGTTCAACAGAGAGAAGTTCTGGTTCAGAAGGAAGTGCAGACTGTCTGTGTGATGGGAAGTGCTGTGGGATCCTCCTTGTGAGGGTCCTGGTGCTTCATCATTTTCCATCACTCATCACCTGACTGCAGATTCCTTCATCATTCCCAGCTGAGCACACCCTGCTTCAGATAAATCCTGTAGTGACCCCACCATGTTTTAGTGCCACTCAACCACCCCCATGGCCTCTCCATATTCAGCTCATTCTTTCTGCTCTCCACAGAGCCACCTTTAGGTCCAAAGGCAAGCTCAGTTCTTAAAAGGTGAACAGCTTTAAGATCAAAACCTCCAAAAAGTGTAAGTGGTGTTTCTTGACATCTTTTTAAATTTGAAATAAGTACAGAAACCAAAATCTTAACAGCATTGCCCTGACTACCTCCAGGAATAGCTGCAGGATTTCTCATGGTTGCTCCATTAGCTCTCTTTTTTTCACTGTGAAACATCAGCTAAACACCCTTTCTGGAACATTTCTCTATTGTTAGAAACAAAAAACCAGCTTAAACTAGATCAGTAACCTTTAGCATGCACGATTGGTCTTTGAAGGTCCTAAAGAATGAGTTGTGTGGAGGGAAAGAAACACCAGCAACAGGTCTCTGTGTAACAGTGCTGCAGCTAAAAGAGGTGCAGCAGGTGAGAACTTTGCTGCTTTGTAACCCCCTTCTCAAGGGTGAATGTGTATTTTAGCAAACATTCTGGAGCACTGTTACATGAAGATTCATATTAGTAATGAAAACAAGAGCTTTTGCTAAAGAAAAACATGCTATTTTTGGATGTTTCTAAAATAAAACCAATATAAATGATTTATCTTTTTTTGGTTGTTTTGAGTTTAAAAAAAAAAGAAAAAAAGACTCGACAGTCCTTGTGAGGACCTTCTGCCCTGGCCTGGGCCAGCTCGGGCTCCAGGGGTGAATGTTCTTTGGGAGGCGGAGTGGACAATCCAGTTTCCTGGGAAAGCCGAGGGTGTGTCCCTGTATCTGTTTTAAAGGTTGTAATGGCTTTTATCGCCCTGTGAGAGCAGCGGGAACAGCCCCAGGGCAGCGAGGCTGCAGCGGTGACACCCACTGGGACCAGCCTGGTTTAGGCTTTAGGCCAGGCCTTGCTTTGCTCAGAGCAATGAGGTGAGCCAGTTCTGATCTGCCTTCCCACGGCGTGTGAGGCAAATGATGTGCTGAAGAGCAAGGTGGAATTGGCAGCAAAGGGCAGAGGATTTCCTGCTCTCCAGCCCTGCATCCCCCTCCAGGCAGCTGCCAAGTGCCCTGCGGGGCAGCAAGGCTCCCAAGGGAAGGGATGAAGGGCCACGGCTGCCAACAGCAACAGCAGCAAGGCAGTAAAAGCCACGTGTGTGTGACTTGTTCTGAGCAGCTTCACAGGAGGGGAAAAATGCAGAGCTCAGTTAGAAAAGCTGTGCCTTCCCCATCCCCACTGTGGCTGCTCCCTGAGCACAGCTCATCCTTGTGTCACTGGGGCTGCAGCACCCCCACTCCATCACAGCCCTGCCCAGCCCCGAAAATGTGGGGGTTTGAACCCCCCACACCACTGTAAGAACTCAGCTGGCAGCCCTTATTACAGACTGCGTGCTCACACACCATCCACTCATCTTCCTTTCTCCCAAAGTGAACACTTCCAGTCTTAATTTAATTTTTAAAGTTTAATTCCTAAACTTTTCAGTACTTTTTCTTTAGAAACGTCATGGACTCCTCATCCTCAGAACCCTAGAGAGGGCTCTGCTCACCAGGCACATCTGTCTCCCAGAGCATCACCAGTCATGGATGGGAAATCAAACCACAGATTTCACTAGGACTCAAATCAGATATTACAGAAGAGCAAGGCAGAAGGATTTGCTTTAACGTCCAGTGACGGAGCCTGTCCCGCGTTGCCCGGCGGTATCACCGCCTGTTCCCTACCGCACGTAGTTCTTGGGGAAGAGCTGGAAGAGCTTGCCCTCCTGCGTGGGCTCGAAGCCGTACTTCTCCAGGTTGTTGGGGTCGAATGTGCCGTCCTTCACGTCCTTCTCGATGCGCGGAGCCACCAGCTGGTCGAAGAGCTGCTTGGCCGTCATGGGCGGCTCGGAGCCCTCGGGGGCGCGGTAGGACACGTAGGGCCGCAGCTTGAAGCCCGTCAGGTCGGGCACGACGAACTCGGGCACCATCTCCTTGACGAGGAGGAACTTCTTGTTGCGGGTGAGCACGCCCAGCTTCTTGGCACCGCGGCCCTTGTTGTGGCTCCGCGGGCCGCGCTTGCTGGTGAACGGCGACACGCGGTCGGCGCCGCGCACCAGCCCGCGGACCAGCTGGGTCAGCAGCCCCATGCCGGGCACCGGGGGCTCAGCGGGGCCGGAGCCGCGCCCTGCAGACACCGGGGGCTCAGCGAGCCGAGCCGGTCCCTGAGGGCAGCCGGCAGCTCAGAGAGACTGGACCACTCCCCGCGGAATTAGCGAGTCCAGGAGAGCACCGGGGGGGCCCAGCAGAGGCGGAGCCGGTCCCTGCGAGCACAGGCACCTCCCCAAACCGCGCCGGGGCCGGGTCCTCCTCACGACCCAGAGTGGCCCCGCGGCGCTCCCGACTCCGCACACCCCAAAACCGCCCGCTCCCATTGGTCGGGCCGCGCCAGCCAATCAGCGGCGCCGATACTGCCCCCGCGCGGCCCGCGAACCGAACGGCTCCAGGGGGACTTTCCCCGCCAATCAGCAGCGAGCGGCCCGCGGCTGGGCGGGGCCTGGCGCGGCCGCGCCCCCTGGCGGCAGCGGGCGGGGTCTGCGCTCGGCGCCCTTCGCCCCCTGCCCGGGGACCGCGAGCGCTGGGGACAGAGACCGGGACCGGCGCCGGGGCTGGCACCGCGACCGGCACCGGGATGATGGCGGAGGAAGAAGCAGGTGAGAGGGTGCTGGGGATCGCCGGAGCGCGGCGGCGGGACGCGGGCCTGGCGGGCTGGTGCAGCCGCACGGTGCCCCCGGCGGTGCCGGTGCCCCAGGCCCGGCGGGAGGAGTTGTTGTTGTTGTCGTCTTGTTCGGAGCCCGTGTCCCGAGCTCTGGCCTGGCGGAACCGGGCCGGGACAGCGCCCGAGGATGGCCGGGAGAGCGCCCGGGGCTGGCCGGGAGAGCGAGCTGGGTCCGGCCGGAGGTGCCCATGAGGGTTACCCGCGGTCGGTGCCGGTCCCTGCCCGGGCCGGGTCGGGGCTGTCCCCGGTCTGTCCCCGGGCAGGGTCGGTGTTGTCCCCGGGCTGGGTCGGGGCTGTGACCAGGCAGGGTCAGTGCTGTCCCCGGGCAGGGTCGGTGCTGTCCCCGGTCTGTCCCCGGTCTGTCCCCGGGCAGGGTCGGGGCTGTGACCAGGCAGGGTTAGTGCTGTCCCCGGGCAGGGTCAGTGCTGTCCCCGGGCAGGGTCAGTGCTGTCCCCGGTCTGTCCCCGGGCAGGGTCGGGGCTGTGACCAGGCAGGGTCGGGGCTGTCCCCGGTCTGTCCCCGGGCTGTCCCCGGGCAGGGTCGGGGCTGTGACCAGGCAGGGTCGGTGCTGTCCCCGGTCTGTCCCCAGGCAGGGTCGGGGCTGTGACCAGGCAGGGTCGGGGCTGTCCCCGAGCTGTCCCCGGGCTGTCCCGAACCGCGGGGCCGCTCCGGTGTTTGCTCTCGGCAGGAGCGGGGCTGGGTCCGGCTGGGCCGCCGGGCTCGGGGCTCTCCCACAGCTCTCTCCGTGTGGAGAGGCTCTGGGGAGCTCCTGCCTGGATCCCCGTGCTGTGGGGAAGGTTCTTCGGGAGAGTCCCGGCCCCCAGCACTTCCCTGCTGGGTTTTATTGCTCAGCACAAAGGGAGCATAAAGTTAAAAAGTTATTGTTCTCGTGTTGTTCAAGAGTTTGCATCGGGAGTCATCTCTTAACTCAGCTTTGTCTTTGCTTTTGTCTTTGCTCTTGCAGCTCCTCCAGACATGGATGAAGGGGAAAACATCACCAGCCTTCAGGTACAATATGCTTTGCTCTTATTTTTGGACTTACTTATTTCCCTGTGAGTGTTTCCAGAAGCTGAAAGCAGCTGTACCTAATTTGATAGCATTGGGACCATGCCTTTAGATGCTTTTACTTTGAAAGAGCCTTTCCTGCTGAGAGTTTTATCCTTCCAAACTTTTGAGGATTGGTCCCATTTTATTGTGTATGTGTTTTATTTCTTGCAAACCATTTATGCTCTGCTTCATATTCTAAACTGTTTTAATAATGCTATGATTAAAATACTTTAGTTTTTATCCTGAAAAAGGAGGAGTTGCAGAATTCTGGCAGACTGCACTTCTTACATTTGTTTTTAATCACACATGTGAAACTCACAGACTAAAAAGGCACATGATGCTTTCCCTAGTCCTGGAAAACAAACCCCATGAGAGGAAATAGTTCTCAAACTGAAAAACACACACAATGTACTTGTACACAGTTAGCAATGTTTTGTGAAAATCCAGGTTCTGTAGTCAAAACAAGGCACGGGTGCCTCTGAGCTGTGAGGAAGCCTTGTGTTTGGGCTAATCCCAATTTTAAGCCCTTGTTTTCAGGGTTGATAAGGCTTTTTCACCCCTGCCTGCCCGGGGAATGTGTCAGTGTTTGCCTTGGACTGCAGTGAGGAGTGGTTGGACTCTTAGCAGTGCTGGGTGCTGGACCCTGGATGGGTGTGAGCTGCACTTGTGAGGCTGCATGTTTGTGCTGATTGCTGCTCAGCCTCGAGTTCCTAAGGAAACCTGGACATCAGGAGGCAGAGAAATGCTCTTTGTGCCAGTCCATGCTCTGGGCAGGTCACTGCTCATGTTCAGATGCAGGGAGGGCCCTGCAGGGTGGTCCCACAGGCATTGCCTTCAATGAGAGGAAATTCTGAGGGTTCCTTGGCTTGGGGTGCTGAGCACAGCCCTCCTCAGAGAGGAGCTGCCCTGGTGACTTGGCTGTGACCTCATTCCTGCCCCAGGAGCTGTCACAGCAGTCACTGACAGGGCTCAGGTGTCTGCACAGCTCAGCCTGGCTGCTTTGCTTCCTCTGCTTGTCCACAAGGATTGTCCAGGCTGGGAAAGATCCCCCCTGAGTCTGAGCAGGGCAATATCACACTGTCACTCGTGAAAACTTTGCAAGAACCTCTCTGGGGTTCTTGGAGGTCTGAATTTCATCTTTCCCTTCTTGCTTTTCTGTACTGAAGCCCCAGCCTGGGCATGTTTGTGTTTTATTCTTTTTCTCCATGGATTTGTTTCTCCCCTTGCAGCAGCAATGTGAGTGTCAGTTGGCAATTACTATTTTTGGTGTTATTTGAGATCATACAGGCCTGGGGAGCAGCAGAACTGTCCATGTCCCAGTGTCCCTGACACTGTCAAGGGGAAATAAATGCATTAAGTGACCAGAACAGACTTCCACCAGGAACTCTGTGTCACCAGGTGTTCTACCTGTTGCTGACACATCTTCAGCTTTTTATTTTTTCAAGATCTTGTGACTGTTCACTGCAATCCCATGAGTAATAATAGTCTGATAAAATAGTGACAGAGTTAGTTTGACTCATATTGGGAAGATAAACACTAAAGTACTAAAGTGACCTGAGAAGGCAAAGCGAGCACAGGGATCTGTGTGAGGTGGCTGGTCTGGCAGGAGTTTCCTTTGTGCTGTAAAACTGGAATTAATTCCATTAGAGAGACCAGTTTGGTGACTTGGTGTGCTCTTCATTTTTCTCTTGGTGGCAAAGCTGAGTTCAGCTGTCGTCCAGATCTGGAACCAGGGGCAGGAATGGGACCTGGGCTGTGTGTAGTGCTTAATTCAAGTGCTTTTAAGGTTCAAGACTTTCAGGGGGGTGTATTTATCCTTGTACTCATGTTGTTTTCACTTGTTCCTAAGAATTGTTTTACCTTTCCCTCCTCTCTCTTAAGTTTTGGGTTGGCATTTGTGAGACTGTTTTAGGTGCCAGGTTTTATCCTGAGTGACACTGCTGGGCACAGGTGCCAGGACAGCACACCTGAGCTCATGTGCATCATCTGCTTTTTATGTGACTTTAATATGCTGGTTTGTGACTTGTTTTCTCAGTCTCATAAAGTCCTTTGCATTCCATTCTCATCCTTGTTGTTCTGAATAATACAGAATGATTTAAACAAGTGTTCATCTCTGTTTGACCCTGGTTTAGGCCTGAACTGCCAGCAAGACAAAACTTCCCTACTGATCCCTTTCCACTGAACGTTTCCCTTTGCAATGTGGGTTATAAGTCAAAGAAAAACACAATCCAGTTGGTTGAGGTGTTTTCATGGGGACTTTTCTCCACCTGTGGGAAATTAATTTCACCTTCCTTTTTCTTGCCAGGCTGTGGTGCTGGGAGGTGGGACCCCCATCCTGCAGTTTGTGGAGGACAGGATCCAGACCACCATGGTAAAGTAGAGCTGCAAGCAGCTGGGGGTGCATCCACAGCAGCTTCTCCTGAGCTCCATGAGCTCTGCTGAGCCACTGCCAAACTCTGAGTGTTGGTTTCTTTGCTCTCACTGTGCATGAGGCAGGAATTAATTGCTGTTATTTAGAATCACAGGCTGGTTTGGGCTGAAAGGGACCCTAAAGCCCATCCAGTTCCATCCCCTGCTATGGGTAGGGACACCTCCCACTATTCCAGATGGCTCCAAGCCCTGTCCAGCCTGGCCTTGGGCACTGCCAGGGATCCAGGGGCAGCCCCAGCTGCTCTGGGCACCCTGTGCCAGGGCCTGCCCACCCTCACAGGGAATAATTCCTGCCCAATATCCCATCCATACCTGCCCTCCTTCATCTTGAGGCCATTCCCCTGTCCCTCCATGCCCTCACACACCCCCTGTACATTGAGTTGATCAGCTCCCAGATCTTTGGGAAGGAAAACATGGAATATTTTCCATGTGATCTTAGGACTGGTCACTGGTGCAGTTTAAACTTCTTGCATATGAGATGTTTGAATTAAAAATTAAGTATTTATGGACGTGCTTGACTTTTAGACATCTCACTGAGCTGAGTGTTCTTCAGCCCTTCAAAAAGTATGTAGTAACTTCTGAAGTTGAAAATCATTAACTTCTTTCTCCCTAAATTCCCTCCCAGCTGACTGGAATTGCAATTGGAGCTGCAGTTGCACTGTTGCTTATAGCAGTTGTTGTGTTTGTCGTGTACAGAAGAGTGAGACAGTCTAGTAAGTACTTGATAACCATGTAAGTTTTAAACCCAATTTTTCCATAAATCTTGAGTCTTTTTGTAATTTTCAGTGGTAGTTGTTTGCTGCAGAGGTGTGGTTCTTGCAGGACAGCAGCTTTAAAGGATGGAGAACTTGTGTTGGTTCCCTTCCCCAGGTGTGAGCCCAGAACTGTCACCTGCAGCACCTGCAGGTTTCATTTCTTTGGGGTGTGAGCAGTGTCAGCCTCAGGACCAGCTGTGAATTCTGCAGAGGAATTCACCCCTGCTGTGATTTCACTGTCACAGATGGAGAAATGATTGAATTAGAGGTTTCCTTGAGGAGATTCAAACTGCCCAAGCCTTCAGTGTGTTTAGAGAGCCCTTTATCTCCTCTGGGGCTGAGGTGGAGCCTCAAGGCAGCCCTGCCTGGGTCTGGCTTGGCCAGGGCTGGGCAATGAGGGATCCCAGGGTGGTTTAAACCCCAAACCCTGCCCACAGGAGCTGTTCTGGAGGCAGCAAAGTGCCCAAGCTGTGCTCAGGTGTTCTCCAGCTGCTGCAGGGGGTTTCTGATGTGATGCTTCTGTTCCAGAGCAACTTCAGCCCCACGTGCCTCAGTACAGGTTCCGCAAGAGGGACAAAGTGATGTTCTATGGGAGGAAGATCATGAGGAAGGTGAGGGCACCTGGTGAAATCCAGTGTAAAGTTGAGAGGTGTAAAGTTTGCAACACTTCACTGGCAGAGCCTGGCCCAGGGCCTCCAGCCTGTAAATGTCACTGGGATGCTGTGGGTGTTTCAGCTCTCCTGCAGTACTGACTGCATTGCTGGTGGAGCAGCAGCAGCTTCTCTTTCTGGCCAGACCTTTCCTCTTTGAAAAATATTTGCAGCCAGTGAAGGCAGGAATAAATCAATGAATACCTAACTCCTCTAGGGAGTTAATGTTTGTTTAAATATCCCAGAATCTCAGACTGGTTTGGGTTGGAAAGAACCTTAAAGCTCATCCTATTCCACCCCCTGCCATGGGCAGGGACACCTTCCACTGTCCCAGGATGCTCCAAGCCCTGTCCTGGGACACTGCCAGGGATCCAGGGGCAGCCCCAGCTGCTCTGGGCACCCTGTGCCAGGGCCTGCCCACCCTCACAGGGTCCTGGCTGTTCCCTGTGCTGCCAAGTCCAGGTGAGCACTCCCTGCACCCAACATCTGTAGAAAAATAAGGTACAGGGAAGTAACCATCCTTAGTCACCCTGTGTGGAGGAACACTTCCTCCTGTGAACTGCCCCAGCCTCTGCCTCCCACACTTCATTGAGGTGAATTCAAACACTTTGACTTAATTAGACACTGGTGGGTTTAATATTCAGTTCTGGAGCTGTTTCATTGTGTAGGAGGTGGTTGCTCCCTGAATCTTTCATGGCAGGTCAGCCTTTAAGTAGAACTTGGCCAAAAAAGCCTTCAATGAGAGGAAGTTTTGTGTGTGCAACTTCATAATTTTAATAGTCTTGATGATTTTCATGTGCAACTTCATAATTTGAATAATTTTTAACCAAGCTGTTTATATGTAATTCACATAAGTAAAGAATGCTTAGAATTCCACATGGGAAAATAATTTCAGGTAGTTTTTTGTTTGAGTTTTAGACCTTACTTTTTGCTTTTCTTCCTGAGTAAGGCAGAAAACATTACACCCAAACTGCTGTGGGTTGCACTTCCAGGGTTTTTCATAACATACCAAGATTTTATTTTCAAAAAAAAAATCCCTCCAAACTAATTAAAGATTCCTTTTGGGAGAGAAACCTTTTGCAGAGATTCAGCTCTTAGGGTGACAAATGGAAAACTGGGAATATTTTGAAAATACTTGATGAGGGGCTTGCTTGGTGTAGCAGTTGTGGTGTTTCTCCAGAGGGTGGCACCTGGGAACTAGGAAATGCAAGGAAAGGCCTTGGGTGTCACCATCACAGCCAGATAGAATCTTGGAATATCCTCAGGGGGAAGGGACCCACCAGGATCCCCCAGCCCAGCTCCTGTCCCTGCCCAGCCCCTGTCCCAGCAACCCCAGCCTGGGCATCCCTGGCAGCGCTGCCCAAAGGCTCCTGGAGCTCTGGCAGCCTCGGGGCCGTGCCCATTCCCTGGGGAGCCTGGGCAGTGCCAGCACCCTCTGGGGGAAGAACCTTGCCCTGAGCTCACAGAATTCCCAGAATTCACAGAATCACTGGGTTGGAAGAGACCTTCAAGGTCTAACCCAGCCCCAACCCCTCAGCTAAACCCTGGCACCCAGTGTCCCATCCAGGCTTTGTTAAACACACCCAGGGATGGGGACTCCACGACCTCCCTGGGCAGCCATTCCAGAACTTTATCACCCTGTCTGTAAAAAACTTTTTCCTGCTATCCAACCTGAATTTCCCTTGGTGCAGCTTGAGGCTGTGTGCTCTGGTTCTCCAGCTGACCTGCCCTGGCCCAGCTCCAGCCACTCCCTGGCTTCTGTCCCTGTCCCAGAGCAGAGATCAGTGCCTTACTCCCCTTCCTGATGCTGAGTGTTCCTGAATGAGAACCACAGCTAGGAATTCTTCTCCTCTACCATCCATTAGCACTGTAGTAGTTGATTGGTAAAATCAAAATATACTTTACTTGCTTTATCTAAAGGAAGTGATCCTGAAGTAGATATTCCAATCCTCCAAGGTGTTACATGAGCTCTTCACTCTGCTCATACTAATGGCTGGTAAATGTGTTGGTGCCTCAGCAGGGTTGGGATTAGCAGGCTGTTTTTTTTTGGTTTTGGGGTTTTGTGACTGTTTTTGTGTCCATTATTCCCCCCTAGGTTACAACTCTTCCCAACTCTCTGGTTGGGAACACCGTCCCTCGCCAGCGGATGCGGAAACGGGCAAAGGTTTTATCTCTGGCTAAAAGGTACCTGGGACTTTGGGAAGGGGAAAATTCACATCATGGGGGCTGGTTTGGGGTTTTTGTGGAACTTATCCCTAGCAGAGCCCTTTTCTGTAGCTGTTGGTTTTTCCCAGTCCTGTCAGCTGTGGATCAGCTGGGAGGTTTGCTGGACTGGGATGGTTGTGGTGAGGAGGGGCAAGAGGGTGGGATGTTTGAGCTAATTGATAATGTGTAACTTGGGATGGTGGATTTTAATACTTACTATATGCTTATTTAACATTTCCTATTAGTAAAAATCTAACATTTCCTATTAGTACAAAAGAGGGAGCATCCTGAACTTCCTTTTTCCTTTGTAGGATTCTGCGTATTAAGAAGGAATGTCCAACTCTGCAGAGGAAAGAACCTCCTCCTTCTTTGCTAGAGGCAGATCTGACTGAATTTGATGTCAAGAATTCCCACTTGCCATCAGAAGTCCTGTACATGCTTAAGAATGTCAGGTAATGTTAAATGGAAAGAGAAATTTAGAGTTTGGTTTTGATGGATGTTCAGGTGATGTGAATATTTGACAGTTTGTGTCAAATCTTGGATTTTACAATTGCATGGTCAGAATCCTGAGGAGGTTGACTGAAATTCATCAGAGCATAAGGACAAAATGAATGACTTTTAATTTTCTATAAATGTTAAGAAAATAGATGAGTTTGTTTTAAAAATTAAAAAAAGAGATGGGGGAAGAAAAAGGAAGTAGCTTAGTTGTCTCAGCTTGGGAATAGTGCTAATAAATGTGTTCTAACATGAACAGATTTAGTGCATCCTAAAACTTCTGTTTAGGCTGTATCAGGCAATTTTTTTTTTTATACAGAAAAGCATCATAATTGGTAAATGTTAATTGGATACCATATTGACAGCTCCTTGGGCTGCAGGATCTTTTACCTCTCTGCCTGAAAAGGTTGCAAATAAATCAAAGTCAACTTAATCCCCACAGCTCTTTGGCAGACTAAGAAGAAGGGTTGGTCTTTATGGCCCTTCAGCAAGGGGTTAAATTGCTGACACAGCAAAGAGGAGATCTTCCAATCTGTAATTTTGGTTTTGCTTGTGGATGTTCATTTTTCCTCCCAGTTGTGATATAATATAGTCCTGAAGGTCAGTCATTCTCAAATAAAAATGCTATTTCAGTCATCTGAACTTGCTGCTGTGAAATTATGGTCTCCTATGACTAATTGATATTGCAGTAGGATTTGATGGATTGATCCTGATAAATGTGAGCTGTTGGAGCTCTGTACAGAGTGATCAAGTGTGAAACTCATATTTCTCTCTGCCTGGCAGTGACTGACTGGAGTCCAGGTGCATGTTACCAGCAGGAGATGGAATATTCCAAACTTGCAATTCCATGCAGATGACAGGAGCTTTTCCCTCTTTTCAGTATTTCTCCAGTGTCCTGCTTCCATGGGCAGGGCAGCTGCACTTAGAGAGAGGGGAAGTTCCTGGGGTAACTTTTCTCACAGAGTGTGTGTATCTGGCTGGTTTTTATTTTTATCCCCCTTCACAGGCCATGCTGGTGTTTGCTGGAGGAAGTTTGGCTGTCCTTCCTTCTGGGCCTGCATTCCTTGGAGGGTTCCTCCAAAGGAGCCCCAGCATTTCCAGCTCTGTGTTTCCTGCTGCTCTTGCACCTTATTTTGGGGAGCTCTTTGGTGCTCCTTCCTTGCAGCTGTTCCTCTGCTCCTCTCGGCTGGAGCTTTGCTAATTTAGGAAGGGTTTTCCAAAGGCTGTGGTGATTTCAGGTTTTGCCTTTGCATTTTCTTTGCTGCAGGGTCCTTGGGCACTTTGAGAAGCCCCTGTTCCTGGAGCTGTGCAAGCACATGTTCTTTGTGCAGCTGCACGAGGGCGAGTACATCTTCCGTCCCGGGCAGCTGGACGACAGCATCTACGTGGTGCAGGATGGAAAGCTGGAAGTTTGCATCCAAGAAAGTGTAAGAACATGTTCAAACTCAGATGTTTGTTAGTTCTTATCTGTCTCACAGTCTCACAAGCTGTGAGTTCTGCAGTACTTTACTCTAACAAGGTAATAAATGGAGACGTAGCTCTCTCTCTACAAGGTCTTTTAAGGATAAACTGTCCAATTAAGAAATGACACCTAAATTATTTTTACTTTTAACCCAATAACCAACTACCCATGCCCTGCAATGTGGACTTTTTTATCCAATTACACAAAACCACCCAAACCCATGAAGAAGGTGAAGAAGAAGGACCAGCCTCCACCCTAAACTCTCCATCTTGCCTTACATATATTACTGTATTCTAAAACCTTCAACTCTGAGTTTTCCACCATGTGATACTACACACTTCTATCAAACTCCACACTCATAATCCCAGTTCTGTCTTTTAGTTTTGGAAGCCTTCTCCATGGCCTTAGGTCAAATGCAGTGTTCTCTTGTGGGTCAGTGCCTGTCAGCACAGAAAGTCTGAAATTCTCAGCATCCAGGGTTCCAACAAGAACCCACTGCTCTGCACTTCCTGAGAGAAATCTGTTGGCACAGCAGATAGGCTGGCATGAATCATTAAGCATTGATTAAACTTAGACATGTGAATCACAGTGGTTTAGGAGGGATTAATCCCAGCTCTTTGGGGCTGTGGTATTTGTAAAGATCAAGGTTTGCAGCAGTCCCTCGTGTCTCAGATGAGAGAGCAGAGCACAAAGCTGATGAGGCAGCTGGAATTATCCTCACACAGGAGATGCAGAAGTTGTTGAGGGAAGACAGGGAGCAAGATGGGCTTGGAAACATTCACCTTTTAAAGGTCATTACAGAAAGGATTTGGGCACAGAGAGCAGGAGAGACCAGGCTCACCTCAGAATAGTCCAGCAGGAGTCAGTGGGTTTGTCTGGGAGGTGAAAGAATCAGATTGACTTTTGGGTAGATGGGAGAAAAGATGATCATTTGTTTTCCATGTGGGTCTCAAAATGTTGAGCACCAGTCCCTTCTGATGCCAATGTCATCCCTTCTGCCAAGTTAAATTTTTAATTTTTACCTTCATCCTGACTGAGCTTTGAGTTTAACTTTTGGATGCGAGCAGTTTTCCAGTGCCTGAAAGTTTAGTGGGCTTGTGTTTGGAGTTTATGTCAAATTTGCTGATTTCTGTGTATTTTTACATTTTGCTGCTCCTGTTTTGTACAACCTCTTGAGAGGTCACCCCTCAGTAAAGGGAGCTCATTGGGCCTCTGTGTTTTGTTGGTGTTACATAGCAAAGACAAGCAGATCACAACATCCCTGGAAAAAACTGGCTCATAGTTTCTTTTAATTTATCACTTCTAGAAAGCTGGTTTAAAACTCCATGTTGGAATTAGCACAACTGCATCAAAGCAGAGAGAAAAGAAGCACCTGAGCTTTCTGAAATGCTGCTGGTCTGCCCAAATGCAGCTGTGAGGCTGCAGTAATGCTGTGTGTGTGCTTGCAGGATGGAACAGAGGTGGTGGTGAAGGAGGTGCTGGCAGGGGACAGCGTGCACAGCCTGCTGAGCATCCTGGATGTCATCACGGTGAGTCCTGGCAGGGCACATCCCTGCTGCTCCCACTGAGCTGGCTGGAGCATTGGGCATTCCTAGGGAAGAATCAGGATGCAAAATGGCTTTTTTGATAATTCTCCTCCTCTCAGGCCTTTGCAAGAGTAAGCTGAGCTTGGTGGTGTGGAGGGTGCTTGTGAAATGTGTGCTTGACTGGCTGCTTCTGGTTGGCAGGAGGATCTGAGTGATCCCTTTGTGTCTGGAAAACTGAGATTACAGTTTGATTTGCTCAAATCACAGCTCAGGCATGTCAGGAAAATTAATCCACAAACATCAGAAGTTTATGTCCAAAAAGGAGACAGAGGAGTCCTTTTACTTTATTCCAATAAAGGGAGAGGCCATGGGGCATTCCCCTGGGATCTGTCAAATTTTTGGAGGATGCCCCCTCCTTTTTACCCCAATTTCCCAGCCACATTTCCCTTCTCTCTTTCCCCACTGGCTGAGGTACTTGAGAGGTTCAGACTTCCCAATACACCTGATAACAGAGATTTCCCTTTAATGTATAACCCTCCCTTTTCATTTTTAATTCTTACAGAATTTAGGGGTTTTTCTTCCCCATTGTTTCTTTTATCTTTCAATGTCTAATTTCATTTATCAGCAAACCTAAAATTTATTTGTAAAAGCAAATATCTTTTTCCATTCATCAATCAGTGGAATCCTTCCCATTGTTTCTTTTATCTCCCAGTGCTGGTTTTATCTACCAGCAGCCCCACAGCTTGTTTGGAAAGACAAATCTGCTATTCCTCTCAGGCAGGAGCAGGACCAGGTTGGGGCCCAGCAATCCAGGCTTTTACATGTTTGATGAGTTGCTTAATGAATTTGGTTTTATTTAGTCTAATGAAAACAAATCTGACAGTTGTTAGTACTGTAATTATACTGTGAAACCAGTTGATGGATTTGTTTTGTTTTGTAACATCAGTGGTGCTGGTGGCCAGCTGAGGGCTGTGCTCTTTGGCAGGGGTCAGGATGAGCTGAGTGCTGATCCTACTCAGTGCAAAATTGGTGGATTTGGTTTCAGTTGGAATTAGACTGATGGTTTTGCTGAAATCACTTTAGGAATACCTAAATGGAAGGAATTGAATTCGACATCTTTGATAATACCCAAGCCTGAAGGTGTTTTCCTGAAGGATTTTGGCAGGATGGGATTTCAGAGGATGAAGATAAATCTAGTTACTAAGCTGTTCGTGTTTACCTTGTGCCATGTTTCTGCCATGCTTGGCTGTTGCTGTTCATCAAAAGGTGCCATTGCTGTGTGTGTGAGGAGCTGCATGGCCAGCCCAGAGGGTGCTGGGGAATGGTGCTGCAGCCAGTCAGCAGTGCTGTCCCTCAGCCTCTGTGCTGGGGCCAGTTCTGTTCAATATCTGTGTTGATGACATGGATGAGGGGATTGAGTCTTCCATTAGTAAATGTGCAGATGACACTGAGCTGGGAGCTGTGTCCATCTGTTGGAGGGTAGGAGGGCTCTGCAGCTCTGCAGGGAGACCTGGAAGGGTTGGAGGGATGGGCAGAGTCTAATAGGATGAAGTTGAATAAGTCCAAGTGCCCAGTCCTGCATTTTGGCCATAATAACCCCCTGCAATGCCAGAGGCTGGGGGTGCTGTAGCTGGACAGTGCCCAGGCAGAAAGGGACCTGGGGGTGCTGACTGACCATGAGCCAGCAGAGTGCCCAGGTGGCCAAGGAGGCCAATGGCTCCTGGCCTGGGTCAGGAATGCTGTGGCCAGCAGGAGCAGGGAGGTCCTTGTGCCCCTGTGCTCAGCACTGGTGAGGGCACACCCTGAGTGCTGTGCCCAGCTCTGGCCCCTCAGCTTGGGAAGGAAGTTGAGATGAGAGCATCCAGAGGGGGCAACGAGGCTGGAGAGGGGCTGGGAACACAAACCCTGTGAGGAAGCCCTGAGGGAGCTGGGGGTGCTCAGCCTGGAGCAAAGGAGACTCAGGGCTGCCCTCATCACTCTCACAGCTCCTGAAAGGTGCCTGTGCTCAGCTGGGGCTGGGCTCTTTCTCCAGCAGCACTGACACAACCAGAGCACACAGCCTCAAGCTGCACCAAGGGAAATTCAGGTTGGATATCAGGAAGAAGTTTTTTACAGAAGGAGTGATAAAGTTCTGGAATGGCTGCCCAGGGAGGTGGTGGAGTCCCCATCCCTGGGGGTGTTTAACAAAGCCTGGATGTGGCACTGGGTGCCAGGGTTGAGTTGAGGGGTTGGACTTGATGATCTTGAAGGTCTCTTCCAACCCAGTGATTCTGTGAATTCTGTGAGTTAAAGGATTCTCTGAAGTGTTCTTTGTCATTTCCAAAAGCAGTCAACACCTCTATATCCACATTATCTATACATCTATATTATGTATATCTGTAGTTCCCATAAAACCTGTCAACAGTGATAACATTTTTTAAGCATGGTCACAGTTTTCTCTGTAGAAGGGGAATAATTTGGACTGTAACAAGTCTAGTTCTTGCTGTCAAGTTAATAATATTTTTGTAAATTCATATTACTACCACTAAATTTCTTCATGACAAAATTCTAAATAACAGGGCCATCATAAAGGAACATGAATACCAGTCATGTTCTTGCTTGTTTAAAATGAATATAAGAAAAGATATCCTTGTGTAGCAGTGCTTTATGGCTTTGTTTTCTAAAAAAGTGGTTGTCTTTCATTTTTTATCCTGTTGGGGTTTTATCATTTTTAATTCTCATTCTGTCATTTTTTTTCTTTCTCATTAGTTAAACCAGTGGTAAGTAAAAAAAAAATAGAAATGATTGAAAGTGTGCTGAACAGAGTTAGCAGTCTGCAGAAGAATCTGTAATGAAAAAACTTGAAATATTTTTTGCTAAACTTGTTCTCATTTATTTTTACAACTCTTTTGTTCCTCATTTCCCAGCTTCGTGAGCTGCTTGTTTCATTGCTGTTTTTCCTCTTCCTTATGTTCCTTGCAGACTTTAGGTAGAGGAGTAGCATGAAAATAGGCAAGGAGAGAGGAAGTAGCAGTGGATCAAAATAGAGGAGACCCCTCAGTGTCATCCCAAAACAGTGAGTGAGTCTTAGAACATCCTGCAGATACCATAACCTGAATTAGATTTCACTGCACCACCAAGCCCAGGCTGTGTTGTGAAGAAAGGGTGCATTCAGAGAGGATTTCAGTTGTCTGAGCTGGGTTTGTGATTCTTTTGACTGATTTTGCAGCACCTGATGTCAGGCTGGTCCCTCACTTAGTTGAGAATTGTACAAGAATGTTGGGGGTGCTGCAAGAAGTGTCAAGATCTGGTTGGTGGACCTAAAAGAAAGGTCACACCAGTGGTACTTTTCTAATTGAATTTTTCAGCTTTTAAACTGAAAAGTCCCTTCAGTTCTACTGAATACAAAGTTAGCAGCTGTGACATGAGCTCCCCTTATTCTGAGAAGAGATTGATGCTGCTTTCTCCAAACTCTGAGGAGAAACTGGAAGCTTTTGAATCAAAGTAGCTGCAGCCCCTTTCCTGGTATTCTGGAACATTTCTGAGGTGCACTTAATGACTTTGACTTGATACTGCCTCAAATACCAAAGAAATCTCTGAGCTGAGCCTTGTTGATGTCTCTGTTTTCAGCAGCTCTTGCTGAGAGCCTGTGTGTGAGCCAGAGCTTTTCCCAGAACAGTCAATGTTCATCCAGAGTGAACTGCTCCAGCAGAGATGTGATGCTGATTCCTGGAGATTTGGGGATCACTCTTCTCTTGTCCTCCATGTGGAGATGCTCTTAAGAAAACAGGGGCCTGCTGGCATAGTTGGAATAAGAAAGTTGGAGAAAGAAGAGGCTGTGAGGGATATTGATCAAATGGCAGTGATTAAGGGGGGGAAAAAATGAAAGTCAGGATTAAAAGAAGCTGGAAAAACACTTGGATAAAGGTGAGCCTGCAGGGCTGACAAGATGGATGAGGTTATAAAGAAGTGATTGATGGCTGCAAGAGCTTTGGGTGCAGCAATGTTGAGGTAGAGGATGTCAGGAAGGAGCAAAGGAAGACAAAATCCAACCATGGAAATGGGGAGAACATCTCAGATTTTTGGGTCCAAAAAGGAGCTACCACTGCAGATGGGAGAATGTGAAACATCCATGTCTCTTGCAGTAGATTTTTTGACCAAACTTGGTTGGATTTGGCCATAAGCTGTCACCTGTGTTCAGCTGCTGCTTGGAGGTGATGCCTCAGCTCTTGGAACGAGACAGAAGTAAATAATTACCTGCCCTGAGAACAAAAAGTTCTCTGTTGAAGAAAACCCTGTTTCATAACTGATTATAACTTAACTGTTCTTGTCATCTCAGTGTGTGATTGCAAAATAGTATAATTTGAACGTGGTATTCTCCCTGTGCTGCTGATAACATTAGAGCTGAGAGAAGTGACAATTATGGGAGATTTGCTCCTCACATTCCCCTGACAGCTCTTGCATGTCCCAGCCCCATTAGCCATGGTGTTGGCCCTTTCAGAAGAGCTGCTCTCATGCAGGGATTTCAGAGAGGCAAAATTATATGCTGAAAACTCAGAGGAATGGGCTGTTCTTTGGAGAAAAAGGCTTCTGCATTGTTATCTGTTATTATCCTGAAGCTGTTTTTCTGAGGTTGTCAGCACTGAGCACTTTCCAGAAAAAACCCAAATACTTTACTGGGTAGACTAGAGACCAGAGTTCTGGGATACCCAGGGTTCAGTCTTCTCTTTGGAATAACTCATGAAACACCATTAAACTTGATAAAAATTTAATTTCCTTGGTTTTTTTACTATATTTTTGCTGTAGAGATTGGAAGAAAATACAGTTGATGGCAAATGCAGTGCTTAAAAGCAGACTGTATACATTTTCTTTTACATGTAAGTATGGGTAGTCCAAATTAATTCTTCATGTAAAGCCAGACTTCAAACTGGCCTGTAAAAGAGGATTGCTGCATTTATTTTTGGGTGCAGCCAAAGCACAGAAATGTTATTTGTTAATTTCTTTACTTAATTAAAAGAAACTTGGGAAAACTGAGGACACTGGGAGCTGTGAACTGTAGGTCAAAGAGATGTTTAAAATTTCAGATCCCTCAGGAACTTGAAAATCAAGGCTATTAATATCATCCCCAGATTTTATAAAAAGGTCAGCTGAAGTTGGTGTAATTAAGAAATTGGTTCCAATTAATTTAATTTAATTTTAGAATCTGCTTCACGGAGCCTTCCAGACCAGCAGGCAGACAGAGCTGCAGGTTTATTTTCCAGAGTGATTAGAGAAAGTCTCTTGTTTGGTTGGCTGGGTTCTTTAGGCAGGAATTCCTTCAGAGTGCTTGTGTTGAGTTGTGTGATGCTCTGCAAGTCTTGCAGGCAGTTTGGTTTGTACTCAGCATTTAACATTTGTGTGTCAGTGTTGGGAAAAAGGTGCCTTGTGTTTCTCTGGAGGGGAAAAGCTGCTGGAGCTGTGAGGTGCTGTTAAAATAGGAACTCCATTTCTTCCCCTGCTCCTGCTCTGTGCTGCAAAAAGGCTCATTTTATCTTATCAATACTGTGTAAATCAATATTTGATGGATTAGTAAATTAATTTATGAATTAGAGATGTTGTTTCCAGCATTTATTGAGTGGGTGAAAGGGATATTGTCTGTCTTTTTATCCAAGTGTTTGGCAGTAGGTTTTGTTAAAATCTATTCTCATTTAAGGGGGAAGATCCAAACCCAGAGGCTTGCCTTCCAGTGTGAAAAAAATCTCTGTATTCTACCCACTTTTTATTTGTTTGTTAGTTCCCCATCTGTTCTTTGAACAGGATGGTCTAGACCCACTGTGTCTCCAGTAAAGAGAAGCTGTTTGGCTTTGTCACATGGAATATTTAAAGTGTGTATATATATATGAAAAAATGTGTATATATATATATCTTGAAACACAAGAAGTCTGCCTGTCTTTTGTGTTCCTCCATTATGTCTGTAATTGCTGTACAATTTTGTTGTGTTTTTCACTGGTTGTGTGAGTCTGGGGTTGTTTATGCAGCAAATAACTTGGTTGTCAGCACAGAGACTAAAATCAACAAACCCTCTTTTCTCTGCAGCCTTGACTAGGTGGGCTCTCAAAGGCTGGCTGTGTAATTCAGCTGTGTCACAGCTGAGATCCTGGCACTGCCCTGTCCTGATGCAGCTCCCTGGAGCTCTCGTTTCCCTGCCCTGTCTCTGATGCAGGTGTGAATTCACCCTCATTGCATCCCCGTGGTCCTGGAGCACCAGCCTAAGGCTCTTTGTGGTCAGAGGTGTCTGTCAGACACAGCAGCACAGCAGGAATTTGGGAGGAATTGGATTGGATCATGGATGGATTAACCCCCTGTCTCTGGAACTTTCTCTTAGGGTCACCCTGCTCCCTATAAAACCGTCTCAGCCCGAGCAGCCTCTCCATCCACAATTCTGAGGCTTCCAGCCAGTGCCTTCCAGGATGTGTTCCAGAAATACCCTGAAACCCTTGTGAGGGTGGTGCAGGTAGGTAGAGCTGAGGGGGAAGGGGAACCACTCTCATTTCCAGGTTACAGGAGGATGTTTAGAGGCTCAGCAAGCTCATCATCCATCCTTTGCTAGATACAGAACTGCTCAGCACATCTTATCAAGATTTGGACTTGTTCTGCTGGCTGTTGAACCTTAGACTTAATAATCAAGTATTATCCCAAACAGGAAAAAACAATTTCTGTATCTGTATATCTCCATGGATTGAGTTTCTGCCTGGGGTACCCTCATCAATCAGCCAGACCTGCAGTGTGAGTCCCTTGGTCCCTGGGGAGTAGAAAGCTGCTGGTGTGGGCTCTGCAGCTTGGGGTGCACTAGAAGGCTCCAGAATGGCTGAGAGTCATGAACAGACTGCCACATGTCCTGAAACAGGACTGCTGGACCCTCAGGAGCTCTTTGGTGAGGGCTGATGCTTTGGAAGGGTCACAAAATTCAGACTGACATGTGAATTTTCACTTTAGACACCTCTGTCAGCACCTGAGGGAAGAGCTGTGCTTTGTGTCAGTTGTGCTCACCTTCTGCTGCCTTGCAGGGGCTCAGACAGCTCCCCAGGGAGCATCTCCTGCAGGTGGGAGGTGGTGCAGGGATCAGGTTCAGCATTTCCAGGGCTGGTGCCTTGTCCCACAGGTGTAGCAGCCACAGGGTGACCCCAGGAGTCTCTCTGGGCTGTCCTTTTGCTTTGCCATCACTTCTGAATCTGTTTGTCCTTGCAAACTGTTCTGGTCTCTGGATGATTTATGGGCAACACATGAACCTCCTCATACTGCTGGTTGAAGGAGAACAGATCATTAACACCAAATTAATTTGCTCTGTGAGAGCTGATAAAAAAGAGGAGATGGCTCAGGAGTGGGAATTAGCTGGCAGGGCAGAGGAAGGTGCCACTGATGCCAGTGTTAGCTTTGAGTGCTTGTGGGGCAGTGGGACAGGTTCTCTATGGGGAGAACTGGAATAATTTTTTTAATGAAGAGGAAAATTGGAAGCAAATGCTTCTATTTCAAGGCACTTTTACTATTGATGTTTATAGGAAACAAAAAGCATTTGGTGTTTGGGAGTAAGACTTTGGATTCTCATGCCATCAAATGATTGTGAAGTCATTGGTAAATCATTTGAATCTGTCTCTGTCTCAATTTATCAGCTGCTAAAAAGGAATTTCAGTCTAGGGTACAGTCTGTATTTTATAGAGTGCTTTCAGGTACCCTGGTGCATGATTGTGTCTAAATGCCAGAATGAGTGTGGGAGAATGCTAAATCCATTGCTGCTGCCTCTTTGTTCCCTGCTTGCAGATCATCATGGTGAGGCTGCAGAGGGTGACGTTCCTGGCCCTGCACAACTACCTGGGGCTGACCACGGAGCTCTTCAGCTGTGTGAGTTTGGGGGGCAGGCCCTCTGCTCTCCTGGCAGGGCACACAGAGCTTCTCCTTCTTCCAAAGGTCATAAAGCAAATGCTACATATTAATTTCATAATGACAGTGCTTGAGGACTGAGGCACTTGTACAACCAGCCCATAAAACCCAGCCTACACTGGTGCCTGGGGGATTGGTGGGGAGGCTTCAACTTCCCAAGTGCATCATTCCATGGTGATGAGTGTGCTCTGCTGGTGCTTCAGCACTTCTGATGTTTGCTGATGATGTCACCTCTGCCTGAGCAGTGTGGAAAATGCTGCACCCGTGGTGGCAGAGGGACAGGGAATGCTCAGAGTGTCAAACTGGGAATCCCCAGGCCCCGCTGGGAGGGAGCTGCAGATCCCAGGGCAAGCCCCCCTTGGGGATCTGGGGCTGAGGAGCACAAGCTGAGCAGTTCCTGGGGGTCTGTGCAGGCTGCAGGGTGTGGAACACGTGTCAGGGAGGGGTGGTTGATGTTTGCTTGTCCCCCCTGCTCCCAGCAGGGCCAGGGCACCCCCCTGATCTCCGTGAGCGGCATCAGCGCTGGAGCCGGCAAGGTGGGGAAGAGACAAACACCCAGTGCTTTGGAGGAGGAGCGTGGAGAGAAGCTTGAAAAGTCTGGGGAAGCCCTGGAAATGGGTAATGCTTCTGGAAACATGGAGGAGCTGTCCTCTGGCATCCTCTTTAATTTTGCCTGTGCTGTCCCCTGGGGCCTGCTCACACCCTGGGCATCCCCTTCAGTCCTGGCATGGAACCCCAGACTGATTTGGGTTGGAAGGGACCTTAAAGCCCATCCAGTGCCACCCCTGCCATGGCAGGGACACCTCCCACTGTCCCAGGCTGCTCCCAGCCCTGTCCAGCCTGGCCTTGGGCACTGCCAGGGATCCAGGGGCTGCTCTGGGCACCCTGTGCCAGGGCCTCACTGCCCTTAATAGTGAAGAATTTCCTCCCCAAATCCAGTCTAACCCAGCCCTCCTTCAGCTTGAGGCCATTCCCCTGTGTCCTTTCACTACATTTGATCCACTGTTGATGTCACTGCTATTGAGCCAAGGATTTTTATTTTATGATTTTTATTTTATCAGAATAGTTAAGGATTGTCTTGGATTCATTTCAGGTTTGAAGCCTTTGGATAGTTCTTAGCTTCAATGGGGCAATATTACTGTGCTCTTAATGATATTGAGGGATGAAGGAAGGGGGAAATATAAGTGACTTCTCATTTTGAATGCAGAGAGGGAGTTGGGAAAATTCAGCTCTCTAGACACCAGCAGAAGAATTGCTGGATATGTGTCTTTTCAGCCTAAAGACTCAGTACTGAAGGTAAAGCCAGGAAAATAGATGGAGTTGAATTTTGCCTCTGCAGATGGAAAAAGATTCATTAAATCAAAACCAGGAAAAAGGTTTAATTTAATTTAATAATAAATTTAATATTTAATGTCCACATTTCAGAATCTTTAAGTCAGCCTTAAATAGTGGCTAGTTAAAGGTTCTTATTGTTAGTGAAACTTGTTTTATTAGGGGATACCTTGTGTTTACAACATTTGCTTTTAAATTTCAGACATGTTGAGGATTTCTGGTGCAGAAAACTCTGAGCATGTTTTCAGAAGAAGCCTTTCATCACCTCCCTATGCAGGCTCTACAGAGGCTTCTAGTAAGTAGTGCTTGGCAAAATTGTGGGGAATATGTAATTTATCTAATCATGGGGGAAACCACATGATCTCTGGAGTGCTGGGTTAGATAATTTTCCTGTTTATGGTGGATAATCATCTTGCAGTCCTGTTCATGGTAGATAATCATCTTGCAGTGGTGCTGCTTCATAACTCATTGGTCAAAAAATTATTTAGTAACAAATGGACTATTATCCCAGAGAGCATTCCCTTGCTGTCATTATCAGCAATGGGGAACATCATTTGGCTACCAAGACCTGCAAATGAGGAGCTTTATTAATTGATATTACTGAAACAAACTGAATTATGATGATAGGCCATCATCCTTCAAATAAAAGATGACACACGTTTCTTCCTTGGCTGATTGTCCCAAAAAGCACATTACATTGCTTTGCTGCTTTTAGAGGAATGTTCTTTAGAGAGGATAATAAAGGTGATGGATCATGGGATGCTCTGAGGAGACATTTATGAGGCTGAGCTGCTTTGATGCTGCAGTGTCATTTTGGGGAACTTCAGTTACTCCACTGTAGACATTTTCCTCTGGGCTTGGTGTTTTGGGCAGCTTTGTGCTTCAAGGTGGACAAACTGGAGTTCTTGTGGGAATCACAGAGCACAGGTATCTGTCTCTGTTAGCTGAGTAATAAATTAAGCTCTGTCAGGGAATCCAAGCTCATGCTCGGGTACTGTTAATAGAGAGATGTTTAATCAGTGGAATAAAGGTGCCCTGGGTACTTTAGAAGATGCTTTTATTGCTCACCTTGGCTATTGAGTGACTTAGGAGAAAGGAACATAGTGTGAGAGGTTGAAGGGTTTGGAGGAAGGAGGGAGCCAGGCTGAGGGAGCCCTGAGCACTGAGAGCTTTCTCCAGGGTGAGGTTTGTGTCACTTGTTGCTGCCACACAAAGCTGCTGGTGTGCACAGAGGAGAGCAATGGGAAATTCCTTCAGTTTTAACACTGGAGGGCTCATTTGTTTCCTCTTCAGTTCCTCTGGGCAAGTGTAAAGGGTCCCACTTAGATTCTTCATGGTTTCCATGTCACTGTCCAGAGGGGTGGATGTGATGGAGAAATAGGATTTTGGCTGGGGTGAGTAAAACATCTTTCTAAGCCAGGGAGACAAATTAAAAGAAAATACTGACTGACCCACACAAGGCTTGGCTTGATCTTCACATGTGTGAGGTTGTTTTACACCAGGAATTACAAAATGCACCAGCAGATTTGATTCAGTGGTAAATTAATTAATCCTTGCCCTGAACACAGCCCCTTCCCCAGGTAAATGAGGCACTTCAGTGAGCTCTGCCTGTGCAGCCCTGTGACATTTCAGGGACAGTCCCTGTGTGTTCTTAGGAGCTTTAATATGGAAGGATCCCTGCAAACCTCTCAGTGGGTATGTCCATTTGTCCTTCCTTTCTCCTTTTATGTGTCATAAAAGTTATGCCAAGATACACAGAGCTTAGCAGATAGAGAGAATTAATTTTTACTGCCAGAAGGAGCATATCTAATTGGGTAATTATGATTTGCCTCAGTTAACAGAGCTGATTTTTTCTCACTGTTTAGCTTGCACAGAAAGTGTCTTGATGTCTGCAATGAAAAGATCAAGATATTGCTTTAGATTCTATTCCACTGCTTACTGTGTGTTCAGACTCCATGGAATATTGATCATGTTTATTATTAATTCAGAGAGGAGAAAATTGTTAGAGTCAAAGAAGTGCTGTTATCTCAACATCTCCTTGATTTGCTTGTTGTTAGAATTAATAAACACTGCTAAAAATTGCTTTGGGAGAAAACACTTCTGCCTCAGTTGCTCCTGGGGCTGGCTGTAAGCTGTTTGGTTTTTTGTGTGGTTATCTAGCTTGAAGCATAGCAGATGAGGGAATGAGATTCTGCCAGCTCAGGCTACTCTGCTTTATAAGTGTACTAACTTTGGGTGGAGAAAGGTAGAATTAATTCATGGAAGTATCTGGGCTGGGGGCAGGGGAATTAGAAAGCAGAAATAAAACAGCAGGGCCTTTTGGATGTAACAACTTCACCCCTTCATTGTCCCTGGAAGTAAGCCTTCCTAACTCTATTTTTAAGTTAACAGAAGTTGTCTTATTGTTTTGGTGGGGTTTTTTTCCCCAAAGAGTTGGAGCTGTTTCCCCAGAGCCCTGACATGTGGCACTGGCAGAAGGTGGCAGGGAAGGCACCTTCTCTGCACCACCCAGCCTGGCCTTGAATGGTTTTGTGTTATTGTTTTTTAACTTATGGGTGTTTCAGTAGATGTGAGTGGCTGTCAAGTCATTTTATTGCACACCTTGAAATTCTGTGGAGATTCCCTTGGTGAGCAATGGGAAACCACTGCTGCAACTTTTTATGTATTTTCTTTCCCTGACTCATGAAATGATTATTTGGATTTGTCAGACCATGCTCTGTTTGTGAGAGGTCCTTACAGCAAGGAATTAAAACCTTGTATCAGCTGTAGGTTTCCAGTCATTATTTATAAATCTGTTTTTATTTTGTGGTCTGCTTTTACAAATAGTGTCTTGGAAGTCAAGAGCACAAAAACCCTCTTGAATTAGAAGCCTGCACCTTAAAATCTGGAATGAAAGTGTTGCTCACTGTGACCTTGACAGGCATTTTATCTTTTCCTCCATCTTTGTGTAGAGGGTTGGTAAAGTTTTAGTTCATCAAGCTGGCAGCAGCTCAGTTTGTGAAGTCTCTCATTCCTTCCCTTTCACGAGGCAGGGATGCTGCCAGGGACTGTGGCAGTTGCCATTGTGAGGTCCCCAGGACGAGGTGAGAGATGAGAATTTGACTCCAAGTTCTCAGAAGGCTGATTTTATATCATATATCATATAATACTTATTATATTTACTTTATAATATTTATTCTATTATAATTATTATATTATAGTTATTATATTTATTACATTTATTATATTATATTATATTAATTATATTTATTATATTAAAAGAATGCTATACTAAAACTATACTAAAGAAAGAGAAAGGATACATCAGAAGGCTTGGCAAGAATGATAATGAAAGCTCATGACTGACTCAGAGTCTGACACAGCTGGCTGTGATTGGTCATTAATTAAAACAATTCACATGGAACCAATCCAAGATGCACCTGTTGGTAAATGATCTCCAGACCACATTCCCAAGCAATCAGATAATTATTGTTTTCATTCTTTTCTGAGGCCTCTCAGCTTCCCAGGAGAAAATCCTGGCCAAAGAGGATTTTTCAGAAAATATCCTGGTGACACCATTGTTTGTGCAGTGCCCATGCCAGCAGTGTGGGGTTCCTCAGGCAGGATCCATCCCTCCCCTTGCCCAGCACCTCCTGCTCTCCTGGCTGGGTGTGCTGCTCGTCCTGCAGCAGCTCCAGGAATCCCTGTGGGCACCAGGGAGGGCTCCTGCTTTGGGCAGACAGCAGCTCTCATCCTTAGATGCCTCCCTGTGCTCCTGTCCCTGGGTTTTTAGGGTGCAGGGCTGGGGAGATGCTTTCCTTGCCTGTGGGGCCAGAACCTGAGTGCTTGGGTTGAAAATGCCCTCAGGAGTTTGGCTCACCCTGGGATCTGGGGGGGCAGGGAGATGGACAGGGAGTCAGAGCAGCTCAAATGGAGCTGCTCTTTCTGTTACCCCAGTTTATTGTTTATAGCTGATTTAGGGTCTTTAATGCTGCACTGTAGCATTCACAGTCCCTTTGCCCAGGATTTTTCTCCTGGGAAGCTGAGGAGCCTCAGAGAAAAGGAAAACAATTCTCATCTCATTTGCTTCTCCTGTGCTGTGCTCATGTGGAATGTGTTTGGAGATTGTTCACCCACAGGTGATTGTTCCATTGCATTCTGCTGGGAGTTGTTTTCACTCTTTGGCCAATCAGGGCCAAGCTGTGTCAGGACTCTGGAAAGAGTCAGGAGTTTTCATTATTATCTTTTTAGCATTCTGTAAGAATCCTTTCTGTATTCTTTAGTATAGTTAGTATTCTTTAATATAATATAGTATCATAAAGTAATAAATTAGCCTTGTGAGAACATGGAGTCAGATGCATCATTCCTGCCTTTGTCTGGGGGGAATGCAAATACAATAGTGCAGTGTCCAGGAAATTCAGTTAATAGCACCAACAGCATTACTATTTATTTTTATTTTATATCTTATGGCTTGTAAGTGCTCATGACAATCAACTTTGGGTCAACTTGCTGGGTTTCTTGTTTGGAGGCTGATTATTAAATTATTTATTATGATCCCAGTGGCAGGTTTGATTGTTTATATTTTTAGATCACAGAATTATGGTTAAGATTGGAAAAGACCTTGAAGATCTTCAAGTCCAACTGCCAGGCCAGCAGCACCCTGTGTTCACCACTAAACCATGTCCCCAGGTGTCACAGCCACATGTCCTTTGAACACTTCCAGGGCTGCTGACTCCACCCCTGCCCTGGGCAGCCTGTGCCAGTGTTTTACAACCCTCTCCATGAAAAGATTTTTCCTGATATCTATTCTAAACCTCCCCTGGCAGAATTCAAGGCCATTTCCTCAATATGACATGGAAAGGATACTCTGAGTTTGATGGGAATATTTGTGGCAGTGGGATTCTTCCCTTGGCCTGGCTGGGGTGGGAGAAAGGAGTCAAACCCTTCAGAAATAAAAACTGGGGTTTTGAAATTCAGTTTATGGAATTCAGCCCTTCATGGTAGGCTGGTATTGTCACATGGTCACAGCTCACAATGGTGTAAATTCTGGTTCCAAAAGCCAACTTCCCAAAGCTTGGGGCAATCCTGGGCAAATTCAAGTGTTTGTCTCTTGGGAGGGACAGGTGGGGAAAGAATTCAGAATTAAAAATTTGAATTTTTTAGGTGACAAGAATTTACCACTCAGGAGGGACAATTGCTTTTCCAAAGGGCCCAGCTTATTCCTGAGCAGCAATTTGTTATAAATACAGCAATAATTTGTTATAAAATAATTTGTTAAATATAAATAAAATAAATAAATATAAATAATTTGTTATAAATACAGCAATTTGTATTTATAAAAACAGAAGTGTAAGAACAATGTAGTGACTGAAGGTAAAAGGTGTAAGGAAGAAAATGTAAACTTGTCTGAATAGTCTACTTTGGAGATATATTAGGCATAGAAATAAGGTTGAAATTATTATAGCTTTATTTGTTAAAGGAAATTGCAACTCCTGCATGATTCTTAAACTCATCTGTAATTCTTCAGGCTGTGGGAATCCTGTTCAAGGTTTTCAAATAGGAGGAGTTTCCCAGTTATGTTTTCATTATTGATTGGCTCAGAGAAGTTCCTGGAAAGTGGATGGGACAGCCAAGGACCTCATGTAGTTAAGATGTATTAAAATTGGGAAGTAGGAATGGAAGTAGCATTGACTTCAAATTAATGAATTAAATAAGTGAGACCTGTAAGGGAATTTCTTATGTAACTTTCGGCACCACAATTTGGACAAGTTGTAGAAAAGATCTGAAATTATTGGGGACAAAATGCTTTGTGTGGAGAGACTTTTAGAAGTTGCTGATTATAATTTTCTCCCTATGAAATGGCAATTTATTGGGTGCAAAAAATTTCTTTAGTTTGGTGAAAAAAATATTACTAAGAATAATTTCCTGAAATCAGCGAGGAAAATTTGGTGGATTTGCCTTTTCCTGGCAATAACAACAACAACAGCAACCATTATTATTATTGTTATTATTTTTAATTTATTATTAATTTTATTTGTGTTTTTATTATTTTTATTTTTATTATTGTAATAATTGTCTGATATTCTTCCTGTGTCCCTCCCCTTGAGCAGAGCCTGGTTTTAGGGTATAAAAGGTGACCTGGATTGATAAAGCAAGGACAGCTACATCCTGGCACTATGACTTCCAAGGATGTGGAACTGAATAGAAAATATGCTTAATTTTTCCAAAAAGGCTTTTAAAATAAATAAGATTTCTTCAGCAGATCCCACCTTTTGTACAAACCCATCAACATCTAGATGGGCAACAGATGAACTCAGAGGGTGAACTGCTCTCACAAATGAGGAAATTGGCCCCTGAAACTTAATGTTAACCCTATGAAGGATTTCAAGGATTTGTAGAGTATGGAAAATAAGATGCAGCAACTGAAATGAACCATCAGCAGCATCACCTCCAAGCAGTTTTGCAGAAAGCCATAAAAAACCCCTCAAAGTTTGAATTCATCAGAGTTCCCTCTCTCCAGTGCTCTGCCCATTCTCAGTGGACAAAAAGCCCCACACCAAATCTCCAAATAATGACTGTACCTTGTACAAAGTGTGTGGGAGTTCTGGGATGTGTTGTACACCTGGGAACCATGGGTGGAATCCATGGGAGGATTTCAAGTTCCAGGCCAGAAGGAGCTGGGAAATAACAGGAGCATGAAGGTGCCAAGTTGCTGCCCTTGGTGTGCTAGCTGCTGTTTGTGAGGCTGCAGTGCAGGAGGTGCTCACAGCAGGATTTTTGTGTGCTTGCAGACAATTCCAGCGCTGCCAAGTCTGACATGGACATGGCCTACGAGAGGGCCAGGGTGCACCTGGCCCCCGAGGACGCCGCCGGCAGCCCCGGCGTGGCCAAGGTGGGTCTGCTCCTGCCAGGGCCCAGCCTGAGTCCTGGCTCAGTATCTGCTTTGTGCCATTGGTCAAAAAACTTTTAAACTAACTTGTAACATTGAGTTCTTGGTCTGCTGCCTGGGATGTGAGCTGCTGGCATCTTCCCATTGTCATAACCATGGAATGAGACTGATGCTGGAAAATCCAACAGCTCAAGGCACGTTCCACAGCAGTCCTGTCCTGTTGGTGATTTGTACATAACCTCCAGCTGGTGATACTTCCTGCTCTTCCTGCCCTGCCCTTCCTCACCTCCTTCTGCTTGCAGTCATGTAAAGGTTTTCTTCCTGCCTGCAAAACGCTGCCCTTGTGGCTCTCTGTGAGTTGGGATATTTGGATTTGCAGAATGGTTTGGGTTGGAAGGCATCTCTGAAGCCCAGCTGGTCCAATCCCCCTGCCATGGCCAGGGACACCTTCTCTGCACCACCCAACCTGGCCTTGAATGGTTTTGTTATTGTTTTTTAACTTACAGGTGTTTCAGTAGATGTTAGTGGCTGTGAAGTCATTTTATTGCACATCTTGAGATTCCCTTGGTGAGCAATGGGAAACCACTGCTGCAACTTTTTATGTATTTTCTTCCCCTGACTCATGAAATGATTATTTGGATTTGTCAGACCACGCTCTGTTTGTGAGAGGTCCTTAGAGCAAGGAACTAAACCTTGTATCAGCTGTAGGTTTCCAGTCATTATTTATAAATCTGTTTTTATTTTGTGGTCTGCTTTTTACAAATAGTGTCCTGGAAGTCAAGAGCACAAGACCCTCTTGAATTAGAAACCTGCACCTTAAAATCTGGAAGGAAAGTGTTGCTCACTGTGACCTTGACAGGCATTTTATCTTTTCCTCCATCTTTGTGTAGAGGTTTGGTAAAGTTTTAGTTCATCAAGCTGGCAGCAGCCCAGTTTGTGAAGTCTCTCATTCCTTCTCTTTCATAAGCTGTGATGAGTAACTTTGTTTGATTCAAGTGTCAGGCTGTGCAGAAAAATGCAGGGATAATGAAGTTAGGAAGCTTTTCTTTTTTGGAAACCTAGATTTCCTTTTTCTCAGACCACCAGTTGTGGGTAGAGAATGCAGAGGATAAAGGCCAATTTTGGTAGGTGCCAATTTTGATGTTTAACCTGATCCTTGATGTGTTTCTTCTCTTTGCAGTCGATATTGAAGAAGACAGTGACAGTGACAGAAACTCCATCAGCAGTTTTCCATTACAGTGCTGTGCAGGACTCCTGTAACAGCAAACACATTGATGCCATCGTGGAAGCAGCAAAGAGAGACCTCTCAGCCCTGATGAAACTTGATGTGAGTTATTGCAAGGGGAACTGGCTTTGCCTCTGCTTTTCATTTCACTCTGCCAGGAACTGAAATGTGGATTTGTCTCCTCAGTGTGCTGAAGATGGGCTGGGTGTTTCACTCAACAGCCTGTTGAGGTCATTAGAGGGGTTGAAATAAATTTGAATTATTCTGCCATTTCAAGAGACCAGGCTGGAATGCAGAGCATGAATCTCCCCTCTCTGTGTGCAGTTAGCCCTGCAAGCAGCACATGTGCAATTCCTGCCACCTCCTGAGTGTGGGAAGTTGTCTAAAGGTCCAGGTGACTGCTGCACCCATGAATCCTGGTGGCACTGCATCCCAGGGAGTTGTTTGGGTTTGGAATTGTCCCTGTGCCTTCCCAGGGGCACTGGGAACCCAGCATCTCCCAGCTGGGTCCTGTGCCCATGGCAGGGGCTGTGCCTGATCCCTGCTGAGCTCAGCCCCTTGGTGGTGTAAGAAGGATTGAAAATTGTTTCCATCATTGCAGCTGCATTTCATTTCAGAGGTGTGTCTGTTCATGTGGATAATCAGACAGTTTGGGAGAGCTCAGCATCTGTCTCAGGCAGCCACAGACATCCCTGGTTTGTCCCAGCCTGCTCTGCAATAATTCCAGTCTGCTGCTGCTGCTGCCAGGGGCTGGGCACAGCTGCTGCACCTCCCCCTGCCTTCAGAGCTGTCAGCAAACAGCACTTGCTAGAATTTAAAAGATTTTGCTTCTAGATTTTAGCATTCCCTCCTGACTTCCAAAATGATTCCCCTTGCAGCTTCAGAATGCCTGTCAGGGTCTTTCAGCTCCCAGTTGTGAGGCTGGAGGTGCCTGTTCCACATCCTCACTGATCTGAGGTGTCTCAGGCTGCAGGAGCCTTACCTGTCTCATTATGTTCATTTTCAGGTTTTTTCAGGCATTTATATCCTCATGAAAGGCTGCAGACTATTTTAGAATAAATTATTGTTGCAGAAGGAGTAAAGTAGGACTTCATCTGTTCTGTTCTTGATCCAACTATCAGATCATAAGCAAAAATGCCAAGATTACTGAAGCTCCTGATTACAGCACTTTTCTTTTAGTCTAGAATAAATTTCTCAGTAATTACCAAGTAGCAGTTCAGAGATAAAGTTGATTTCAACAGTGTCCTTAAAATGCAGCTCCTAATAGGCAGAATTTATAACATAAAGATCTAAATACTGGTGAAATAAGGTAGGATTTTCAAGCAGCTTAGTTTTTCACAAGCAAATTAGAATCTGTTGGGATGTGGCCAAATGTCAGAAATTGAAAACTCAATTTTTTTCCCCATGTAGTTATACAAAAGTTGATTCTTCTACAGACAATGCAAGAATAATCTTACTGTGTACAAAGTATTTGTGTTCAATGCTGCTCTGCTTACATAAAAAAAAATGAATTCTTGTAAGGTCTTCTCCTAAAAAATGAGATGGAAGCATTTTAAATTGTCATTTTTCAGAGCAGCCAATCAGAGTGAATAAAATTGAGATGTTTGGATGACAGATGGTAGCTTTGGGGTTTTTTTTTGGTTGTTTAGTTGGGTTTTTTTTAATGTGACAGAGAGATAGGATAAATGTCTCTAGAAAGAGAGGCATTATTTCAAATAGCCTTTAGGCATCTCACTTCAGAATTAAAATTTTCTTTTTTTTCTTTTGTTTTAAGTAACTTGAATTCCTTGGCTCTCTGTCATGAATGGCTTTCAATCTCCTATAGTTTTTGTGTGTTTTCAGCTTTACCTTCATCTATTATGGGGAGGGTTAGGCAGTGTTGCAGGGCATCTCTTCTTTGTGAGTTACAAGGGAATTTACTTTGACAAAAATATTATTTGTCTCAGTTAATTATTGCTGTATTTAAATTGTTTAAACTGGTTTAAATTGTTTATAACTGGTTTGTGTTTTCACTTCCTACCATAAACCCCTGCTAATTTGTTACCCAGAAATAATCTTTGTTGCTTCTTAAATTTGCTATTGTAACCAACTTTGTTGAGTCTCCTGCTGCAATCATTTATCACAGTCCTGCAAAGAAAGAGACTGGCTGGGAAATGGAGGTTTTTGGGGTAATTATTTCCCTTCTTTTCCCTAAAAGCTCCTGGCTGGGGGGCTCAGTGCAGATTTTAGCCTAGACCCTGTAGCTGTGCAGTGCTGAATTTGGGTTTGCCGGTCTCACCCGTGTGAGAGAGGCAGGATGGATTCCATTTCTCATTTCTTTTCTTGCTTCATGGGGCAGTGATTGCCCAGCAAAGGAGGATTCCAAGGTGTGCCTGAGGTCACTCAGTCCCTCCCATGCCTGAGGCACAATCAGATACTGCTAAGTCATTTCTGGCAGGTTTTTGGCTGAGCTGCTCTTAAAGATCTCCAATGCTGAGGCTTTCACAGCCCTGAGTACAATCTATCCCAGTACTTAAGTAGTCTTAGACATGAAGAAAATCTTGGCAGCAATTTTTTTTTTTGAGCTGATGCAGCCTGAAAATGCTCTTGATAAGTAGAGCTCATGGGGGAGCCTGAATTCCCCTGCTGAGAGGCACTTTCAGAGTTACAACTTGGGCTTTAAGAATAGATAATACTATACAACCATAAATGTCTAAATATAGAAAAAACATTCTAGAAATTAGTTGAGTTGCTATTGCTGAACTGAAATATTTTGACAGGTGCTTGTCAGGTTCTCTGCATTGGATATGTTCCCATGAAACAGATTGGCTTTAATAAAACTATTTTTGATGAAAATATGTTCTTTTTATCAGCAGTAGGTGTAAAGAATAATTGTGATTATTTCACTTGCACTATTTCTTTTCACCCCAAAATAGAAAAATTCCAGCCTGGCAGAACAATTACACTGGTGGAGTGTTTACATCTCAGCTGAGCTGGTTTCCTGCTGGAATGGAGTTGATGACTGGGGTCACATTGTGCTCTGCTCTTATGCTCAATTGGTTCTTGTGTGAGTGCAGCTTTTGGTGCTTCTGCCTCTGAGGCAGAGCCAAGCACCCAGGGAAGCTGTGAGAGCCAGGACTGAGCTGCCTCTCTTCAGCCTGACCTGTGCACTCATAACTGAGCCTTGTTTTCTGCCCCAGCCCCTTCAGAAATTCAACATTTTATCAGTGCTGATAAAATGTTGAATTTCTGAAGATTTATAAGAAGGCTGGAGAGGGACTGAGGGCATGGAGTGACAGGACAAGGAGGAATGGCTTAAAGCTCAGGGAGGACAGGATGACATTAAATATTAGGAAGAAATTCTTTATTTGAAGCATGATGAGACCCTGGCACAGGGTGCCCAGAGCAGCTGGGGCTGCCCCTGGATCTGTGGAAGTGCCCCAGGCCAGGCTGGACCCTGGGGCTGGGAGCACCTGGGACAGTGGGAGGTGTCCCTGCCTGGACTGGATGAGCTTTAAGGTCCCTTTGAAACCAAACCAGCCTGTGACTGTGTGATTTGCTGGTTTGAGTGAAGGTTATGCCAAAGCAAAGGTGGCCTGAAGCATTAGGGTTTGATCCTGGCTGCACACAGGAACCCAAATTGTGTGGGCAGTTCTTGGAGATGGAAGAAAAACTCTCTCCTGTTTGGGTGTCTGTTCTGCACTCAGGGTTGTGGTGATAAAAGCAATGTTAGGAAATTTTAGGTTCAGCCACCTCATCTCCCTGGCATTGCAGGGGATTGGGGTCCAAACTGAGGGTGGCTTTTGGGAAGATCTTTCCTCCCATGTGCTTTTCAGTTGGGAGTGAAATTCCCACTTTAGTCTGCCTGAGCACAGGAGTTGATGAGCTTGGGGAAGCTTTTGTTGTACAGTGTGTGTGAAAATGTGCTCTGCAGGTGGAGCACAGCTGAGCTGTGTGCCCAGGGCTGGCCTGGGACACAGCCAGTGTGGGATTATCCTGTCCAGGTGCTCCATGATACAGAGAGTCTCCTCTAGTTTCACCTTCCTTTGCAAGTAACTTGATGTTTGATGGTTTTCATGCCAGCTGATACAGATCTCTTTTCATTAAAGCCCCTTTAAAGAGTCTGGGGGGAAAATTGATGAATAGAAAATCCTTAAGAATCCAAGTGTGATCAATTAAAATTGATCATACCTTTTTTTTTTTTTTTTCTTCTGGAAGAAATATTGGTTGGGTAGAGAATTATAAAAATAGGTGCCATATTTTAAAGAGATTCAGGTACTTGTAACATAGTCTTAACTGTTGTTCTTACTTGCTTTATTTGGGTGGTTCCTCACATTCTGGGACCTTTACCTGTGCACAGAGCAGTAAATTGTACCTCCCACCCCTTTCTTCTCCAGAATCCTGCACTGCTGAATGGCAAAGTGACATTGCACCAGGTCACTGCTGGCACTGTGCTGTCCAGGCAGGGAGATCAGGTGAGTCTGGCTCAGTCTGTGCCCCTCCAGGAGGTGTTTATACACATTCATGGAAATAAAACATTCCCACCTGTCCCTCCCAAGCCACCTCTTCTGGAGGTGAAGCCCCCCAGCTCTGGGCCTTCCTGTCCCAGGACTGGGCTGCAGCACAGCCAGGGTGGGACTCTGGGTGTTGTCAGCTCTGATGGACCTCGTGGGAAGCTGTGGGGTCATCCCTCATCCTTCCTCAGGACTGGGAAGCCTTCTCTCAACCCTGCACTTTGGGTTTCTGTGATGCCACTCAGTGGCAGTAAAGCCCTCATTCAAAACCAATCCAGCATTATTTGTTGGTAGCAAAGTGTGTTTAGGATATAACAAGCTTCATTTATAATAATCCTGTGTAAATAGAGGAGCTTAAGCAAAGCAGATGATGGGCAGCTCCAGTTGCACTGCTGGGCTCTGCTCTGCTGACCTGCCATGCCCCTCATCCTGCAGCTGTGATTCCCCATTATCTCCTCCTCTCCCAGTTCTGTTGTTATTCCTTGATATCTCAAGATGCAGCCTTCATTTTTCATAACCACCCAAAGAGAAATGCATTTTTCAATATTGTGCCTGCTTAAATATTCATACCCTGCTTTTAATAATTCACTATTGTATCTTATTTTACCACCTAATTGTTCAAAAGCTATAGGGGAGCTTTCTGGGAAACAGATTGGTCATGATGGCTCTGTCACTGGGATAATTGCTTTTAAAATCTGGGGGGGGGATTTTTATTGAGCTCTTTTTTTATTTGGTTTTATTTTTCCCTCCCATTTGCTCCAGGATGTCAATGTTTGCTTTGTGGTCTCTGGGATGCTCCATGTGTACCAGAGGAAGATTGACTCTGAGGAGGACACCTGCCTCTTCATCACCCACCCTGGGGAGCTGGTGGGCCAGCTGGCTGTGCTCACTGGGGAGCCCCTCATCTTCACCATCAAGGCCAACAGAGACTGCAGCTTCCTCTCCATCTCCAAGTCCCATTTCTATGAGTGAGTTCTGCCATTCAAACATACGTGGATCTGGGGTTTTTAAGTATTTTTTAGAATTTTTATTACTTTTTCGAACAAAGGACCAGGGTAGTGACTGTCCCCCTGTGCTGGGTGCTGCTGAGGGGCCACTCATCAAATCCTGGGGTTAATTTTGGGCCACTCAGTGCAAGAAGGACATGGAGGGGCTGGAGCCCCAGGAGAGGCTGAGGGAGCTGGGCAGGGGCTGAGCCTGGAGCAGAGGAGGCTCAGGGGGCCCTTGTGGCTCTGCACAGCTCCTGACAGGAGGGCACAGCCAGGGGGAGTCAGGCTGTGCTCCAGGGAACAGGGACAGGAGCAGAGGAAATGACCAGGGGAGGTTCAGGGTGGATTTTTGGAAAAATCTCTTCACTGGGAGAGTGGTTGGACATCTGAACAGGTGCTCTGGCAGTGTGGAGTCACTGTCCCTGGAGGTGTTCCAAAAAACGTGTGAACACCCAAGATGTGGCACTTTGTGATAAGGTTTGGTGGGCCTGGAGGTATTCAGTTAAAGCTTGGACCTGATGACCTTGGAGGTCTTTTCCAACTCTAATGATGCCATGGATTTAATCCCAGTATTGGGTGTCTGTGCTGCTGCAGGTGCATCCCACAGCAAACCATGTTTTTATGGGGTGGGTTCAGGTGTGTGGGTGAGCTGTGGTCCCTCTGTCAGGTGGTTGAACTCCAGCAAGGAGCAATTCAGGGAACATGGCAATATTAAATGGCTTAGAAAAAAATCTTTGTTCAGGGCCTATAGAGCACTTAACCCAGAGGGGTGGGAATTATGGCCCAAGTTTCTTATACTTCATAATTCAAATAAAAAAATCTGCCCAGAGCCTGCACTGTGCTTGGTTAATTGCTGCTTTGCCAGGCCCTTTGTCTTGGATTAATTATTCCTTTTTGTTGGAAAACCTCCCCAGTTCTGTTCCCAGACAGAGCCAGGGAGTTGAGTGTGTTATGAGTGATTGTTGTGGGTGTAACTGTGGGGTTTTAATGCTCACTAATAGAACAGGTTAGAGAATAATTCCCCTGTACAAGACAGGTTCCTTCCTGGACCTTGGAAGTAGCACCTGATTTGGGATTTAATGCTTAGAGGGGAATACAGGTAATTAAAAATGCAGTATGATGGCTGTAGTTAGCCTTGCTGCCAATAATAATGATTAATGCCCTTGATTTATTCTGTGATCTTGTCATTTAGAGTTAGAATTAGTTCACACACATCATTTGTGTCTAATGCACAATCTCCTTTTCCAGCTTCTGGAATGTTCCATGAGTCCTGAGTTACACAGAGCACTTCTGGGGTGGTTGTGTTTGTAGGCCCCTGTGCTGTCCATTTCTGCACAACTTCCTGCTTTCTAAATAATTGTTGTTGTTTGTATTCCTGACCAGCTCTACCCCAGCATCCTCACTGTGGGATTTTGGTTTTTCCCCCCCAGGCAGAGGCTGTGGAGCTGAACCTGCTGTGCTCAGCAGGTGCTGCTTGATGAGCTGTGTTTTTCCCAGGCTCTGAGGTGGTTGTCAATTCTTTGGCCTAATTTCTGAGAGATGCTTCCCACTTGTGCCATTCCATGTGGTTCCAGGCTATTTCTCCTAAACAGCCACTTTTTCTCCCTGTCTTTTCCTGCTGTTGTTTTCCTGCTTGTTTCTGGCTTCAAATTTCATTTTGTTGTCTCAGCCAGCCAGGCAGATTCCACCTATTCCTCTTTTTTTTTTTTCCCTTGTTTTTTTGCTATTCAGGACTGGATTCTCTCTCATTTACTGAAGCTCATTTTCCTGAGATTTCTCTTCTCTCTCAAGAACTGAATTACCTCCTGTTAATTCCAGATTACCTTTCTGCTTCCATTAACCCCTTACCAGTCAGGGATCAAGACCCATCAATCTATCACCTCATCATTATTTTTGGGTCCTTTCCAAATCTTTCTTTTTCTCCTTCAAAGTCTATTGTCTGTTCTCTCCATTTTACAAGCTCTGTGACATTCCAGCATTTCATCTTCCCAATTTGTCCTGAAGCCCAGGCTTTATGGCACTTCTGGGCCCATATTTAAAAGTGACATTGGAGAAGGGCTTTGAAAAGCAGCAGATTTCTTCCACTGGTTCATTTTTGCTTTGAATTCTATGAGAAAGAAAAACTTGTTAATAAAATAGGATGTAGTACCTTTTGCCATTTTAGTGTAAATTCTGTGTTCATAGTTCCACAATGTTCAGCTTTCTTCTTTGCCTGGAATCTCAGAGGAATTATTTTTCTCTTAATTTGTTCATTTTTCTCTTAGCTTACAGACTAGGCAAAATTTGACAAGAACTCCTGTTATTCTCCAAAATTCCATTCTTCTTTTCCTGTCCCATGTGTTTCCTCTTTTCCTCTGTGCTGCCCTGGAACACTCTGTGTTTTTTCTCAATAATTAATGAGACAGTGAAGCAGAAAGTGGTCAGTGGTTATCATGAGGCAAAGAGCACAGCAATGGAAGGAGCCCAGGGTGGAGAATTGAGTGTTGGATTAAATCCTTCCCCTGAAACTGCAGGGCAGGAGCCTTTTTTGTGCTGCTGCCATGAGCCAATGGCTGGCTGTAGGTGCAGAGTGCAGGCCCAGGGGTGGCACAAGCTGGTGGTGCTGAATCCAGGGCTGATTCCATGGAATGTGCCTGCAGTGCTCTCGGTGTGCAGCTCCTGGAAAACAGGAATCAAGTTGTCACCAGGATCTCCTGGGGGAATAAATTCAGGATCTGTGCTACCAGTGGCTCTCTCACATTTTCTGCTTCTGTAAATTTCACACTTTGGAAGCTTAATCAAATGCACTTGCCAGAGAAGCAGGAAAGCTTTGATTTTTATTTGGTCTTGCCAGCTAAGCTGAAAATCCCATTGCAGCCACATCCCCAAGAATATCTGCAGAAGCTCCAGACTTTCACAGAAACTACTTAGCCCTTATTGTTACACTTGGTGAGCTTTCTAGTAAAGAATCCTCAAAGTCCCTTCAGAAACCTCTGTATTGCAGAGCTTTGGATTTTCATTTTCCCAGTACCAGGCATGTGCCAAACAGATGATCAGGGATGTAAATGCCCACGTGAGAGGAAGGAAACTGGGCTGATAATGGGGGGAAAAACCTCTTTTCTCTTCTCCTGCATAAGGGTGGGTCTCACCTTCTGTGTTAATTCTCTTGTAGAAGCTGCATGGAACTGAGGGACATGAGAGAACTCCAGGTGGAAATAAAAGAAGCCTGTCAGTTTGCATTTTGAATGCATTAAGTATTAAGATATATATTATGAGGGAGGAAAAGAGTAAATGGCTTTTATTGATGACAGCAGACAGCCTGTGTGGGAAGAGACTTTGAGGGCTAAATAAGCATGTGGAGTAAAACCAATGAGCTAAAGCATCCAGGATTTTTTAGTGGCTTTATTTAACTTTTGAATCTGCTGACAAGGGGGATAGGGCTGGGTGTTTTCCATGTGTTTGTTGGTATCTTGGTTGGGATGGCATAGAAAAATCAGGATCAGGGAAGAGGGTCAGGAGAGAAAAGCTGTCCTGCTCTTTGGTAATGGTGTTTGCTGCTGGGTCTTTAAGTGTTGTAAATGTAAGAGGAAGTGTTCAGTTTAATTTACCATGTAGACATTCAAGTGCAGGCATATGAGTGGGGTGAATTCAACATGAAATAGGAATATGTGCCTGTGGATCCCTGCTCTTTCAATTCCAGGGCTTCTGACTGAAATTGTAGGCTCCATTAGTGCAGAAGTAGTAGTTGGAGCTCTGGGTGAGGAGAGCAGTACCCATGGGAGGCTCCCTGTGAGCTGCACTGTCCCACAGTCCCTGGCAGCTCTGGGGCCCTGGCTGCAGCAGTGGCACCAGTGAGGAGGAGTCCTGGTGTTGGAGAGACTTCAGGGCAGGTTCTGTGCCCCATCCAGGCAGTGCAGAGCTCCTGGGGAGTCTGCTTTTGTTGTCAAAGTCTTGGATTGTGGATCTCTGCTTGGGCTTTCTGTGATCCTGCAGGGTTGCAGTGGTCCACAAGAGCTGTAATCCAGTTAGGGAACAATGAGTGGCAGTGCTCCTTCCACACCTTTCTCTCTTCCTCAGTTATTTAGGGGTGAGGTTAGATACACAGCTGACATGAGTTGTGCTGAGAGAGAGCACAAAAAGGAGATTTTCTTACCAATCTGGCACCTTCCTTGTGAAGGGAACATGGATGAAGAAAACTCAACAAGGATCCTCAGGTTTCAGGTGAAGGGTGAAGTAATCTTCAGTCTAAAAAGAAGGAGAAATTAGACATTCCTGCAGCTGGAGCAGCCCTGAGAGGGAGCTGGGGGTGCTGGGGCTGAGAGCTGGAGCTGCCCCAGCCCTGAGCCCCTGTCCTGGGCTGAGCCCAGCGTGGGCAGCAGGGCAGGGGGGATTGTGCCCTGTGCCCTGTGCTCAGGTGAGACCCCACCTGCAGAGCTGCCCCAGCCCTGGCCCAGCACAGGCAGGAGCTGGAGCTGCTGCAGAGATCCAGGGGAGGCACCAGGGGGATCAGGGGATGGAGCAGCTCTGCTGGGAGGAGAGGCTGGGACAGCTGGGATTGTTCACCTGCACAGGAGAAGCTTTGGGGGGACCTCAGTGTGGCCTTGCAGGGCCTGGAGGGGCTGACAGGAAACATGGAGAGACAATTTACAGGGGTCTGGAGTGCCAGGACACAGGGAATGGCTCCCACTGCCAGAGGGCAGGGATGAATGGGATATTGGGAATTGGGAATTGCTCCCTGTGAGGGTGGGCAGGCCCTGGATCCCTGGCAGTGCCCAAGGCCAGGCTGGACACTGGGGCTTGGAGGACCCTGCTTGTCCATGAGCAGGTTTGATGCACCTCCCTCACCTTTCTGTGTGCACTTCTCATGCTGGGGCTGCAGGCAGAAATCGACTTCTTTGTGAGATGTTACTTCTTTTTTGTGAAATAACTATTTTTTAGCAGTCTGGCCTTGATGCTGCACAGGAAAGACAAGCTGCCCTAACAGGCAGAACAACCTGACATGTGTGTGATCCATTCTCCCCTGGGAGTGCTTCAGGAGGTATTTGAGTGCTCACTCCCACAGTGACAGGGTGAAGTAAGCTTCAGTCTAAAAAGAAGGAGAAATTAGACATTCCTGAGCAATTCCCAGGTGTCTGTGAGAGTGATTTTTGCTAGGCCTCACAGTCACTGTGGAGTTTGAGGTTGTCCTGGCACAACCTTCTCAGTTTTTTAGTTTGAGGAACATTCTGAATTACATGGTGTCTTTATTATTAGAGACTTTTAAGCATGACTAAAAACATTCAGTGTGAAGATTGAGAGCTTTATTAGAAGATATTTCAGCTCTTTGTGGTCTTTGCAAGAGGAAAAAGGGAATATTTGAAATGCAGAGCAGGTGTTTTATTTTTAAGCACCTCAGACTTTACATATAAAAAGATTCTGATGTGATACGTGGGGGAAACTGAGCACGAGCAAGAGACTGAGATGGGCAGAGCAGCAGGGAGGGAAGATCCTGAGGACAGGATCAACATTTTCCTGAGTCAGGAGAGACCTGTGTGAGGGGAAAATGAGGAGGGTGGCTCATACACAGGAGCTCATGTGGCTCCTGTCCCTCCTGCTGCACTGGGAGAGGGAATTGGGGCAGGCAGCAGGACTGGCATCCTGCTCCTAGGACAGTGCCAGCTCTGAGTGCCATTTCCTTTGGGCTGGGCTGGAAGCTGGGCAGCCCCAGTTTGGTCAGAGTGCCTGGTGACAGTGGTGGTGGCAGGGCTGGGAATTCCTGCCCAGCTGCACTGGGATGTGGTGCCTGTGGGCAGCTGTTCCTGTTGTGGGGAGGGAGGTTCAGTAACTCTTTGGTTTTTCCTCAGGATCATGAGGGAGCAGCCCAGTGTGGTGCTGGGGGTGGCCCACAGTGTTGTGAAGAGAATGTCCCCCTTTGTCAGGCAGATTGACTTTGCCCTGGACTGGATGGAGGTGGAGGCTGGACGAGCTGTTTACAGGTGAGATGTGGACAAAATTATGTGTTTGTTGGAATTTTCCTGCTTCAATAGCTGTGCTCCCTTGGGGATGTGTAAATTGAGAACTTCAGGCTGTATTTATTAACTATTCCATTTGGTTTATTTGTGTGCTTATTTTGAGATTATTTTCTTTCTGCAGTACCTTCAACATTGCTTCAATCTGTTCTCTCTACATTTGCTAAATTATTTTATACTATTCCTCATATTTTCTGTTGTTTTGGCAAGCTTTTTAAGTGATATAATTGATTAAGACATGGTTCCATGTTCTGGTGGTGGTTTCTGCATTGTTGAGGGCATGAAGATCTATTGCTCAGAGGTTTTCAGCCTTTCTGAAAAAACCAGCAAAACTCAAAGGTAATTCAGTTAGGCTTATTCAGCAGTAAATTGAAAATAGAACTTTTGTGTTTAAGGGGCAAAAGTTACCTTGGAAAAACTTCATTTTATGGATATGTACTAGGATGCAATTGAGCTGTTATATGGTTGCTGCAGTGGTGGGAGAGTAACAGTCTAATTAGAACATGATCTGTGTAATTGTAATTTTCATAACCATACCTGCAGCACCAATGCCAATGGAAGTTTTGGATTACTCTCTGCATCAAAACACTCCTAGCTGTCAATATCTTGTTAAAATTTTCTGGAATTCCTTGCATTTGTTTGAACTCCACCACCAGAAGTGTGACATTCCCAGCAGCACTCCTAATTGTGCCAGCAGAAAAGTTCTTGGTAGACAAAGGTGTGTGCACCAAATCTGGAGCCACTTGGGGGTCTTGCTCTTTGACCTGCAGAATTCCTCTGCACATCCACGTTGACCTTGCAGTGGGAATGAGCTCCTGAGTAGGCAGCAATGAGCCTATGGTGTCCCTGGGGCCTGCTCACACCCTGGTCATCCCCTGCCAGGCATGGAACCCCACACTGGCTTGGGTTGGAAAGGACCTTAGAGCTCATCCAGAGACACCTCCCACTGTCCCAGGCTGCTCCCAGCCCTGTCCAGCCTGGCCTTGGGCACTGCCAGGGATCCAGGGGCAGCCCCAGCTGCTCTGGGCACCCTGTGCCAGGGCCTGCCCACCCTCACAGGGAACAATTCCTAATTCCCAACATCCCATCTAAACCTACTCTCTTTCAGTTTGAAGCCTTTCCCTGTGTCCTGTCACTCCTTATCTCAGCTCCCTGTGCACAGCCCGTGCATTTACACATTAAACACATTTCCAGTCACCTTTTAACAAGTTCCTGCTCTGTTTCTCATTTGCTCATTAAGTATCAATTAAACACTTTGCTGCATTTTCCACGCCAGGCAGAGAAAAACCACAAACTTGTCCAAAACCTCCAGATGCATTTGCTGAGCAGGGACCTTCCTTTATCGAAACAGGATGACACCCGTGCAGGGAGAAATGATGCATCTGACTCCATCTTATCAGAAGGCTAATTAATTACTTTATTATACTGTATTATTCTATATTATATTACCCTTTATTACATTACATCTAAACTGAATCTGCCAAGCACTCCACTGCACACACTGCACAGAATCTCATGACTGTCAGCTGAGAGTCTCCATACACACACATGCTTGGCCCTTGTCTTGGTTTAGGGCAAATTTGGGAGAAAACCTCCAAACGGGCCCCTCCAGAAAGCAAACCCACATAGTTCCTCCTCCCAACCAGTTTGGGAAGGATTCCTTGGAAACCAGTGGAAAGAACCTGTTTATTTACCGGGCACAGCACCCCCAGCACACAAAATGAACAATGCCAGGTGACACCACTCTGTCACCGCTCTGACAAAGATGACAAATTCAGAAAGTCTCTCTGGAGGTGCTCGCTCTGTTCTCAGTCCCTCCTGTGCTGGGGCAGCTGCTGCAGCCACAAGGGGCAAACTCTCGGTGTTTGCCAGGTCCCAGTCCAGAGCAGGTTCGAGTAGGTCCAAAAAAGGGAAAGGAGAAACAGTCCAGGGAAAATTCGGACTGCTCAGCTAAACTAACTAATGAGCAGGAGCAAAAAAGCAAGAGCAAAGCAGAAGCAAGAGCAAAGCAAAAAGCCAAGCAAAAAGCAAAAGCAGCACCATGCACTGCCCTGTCTCTGTGTCCCACCAGCTGTGGGAGAGCAGCTGATAGCAAAACCAAAACAAAACTTTCACTCTTCAGAGCCAGTCTTGAAGGCACATAACATGATATCCAGCATAAACAGAACACAGGAATGGGGATACAAACATCATAACATCACCCTAGGACAGCCCTGATAGGCCAAGGAAACAAAACACCATCAGTCTGGGTAAACAATCTCCACATTGCATTCTACTTTTGCCCAAACACAGGCACAGCAAATGAGGTAAGAATTGTTTTCCCTTTCTCTGAGGTTCAGAGAATGTGAAACCCAGAAATATTCTTGGGAAGAATTGTGCCTTGCTTTTCTTTGTGAAGAGAAATGTGGTGCCATTCCTTGATGCTGGTTGTCCCTGCAGGCAGGGAGATGTTGGGGAAGATGAAACAGGAAAGCCTTATAAATATGATTGCTTGGCAAAAGATTTTGAGAATATAGAAACTATAAGCGAGATTTAAATGAAAGCAAGCTTTGAGATCCCTCAGTTACTGAACAACTGGAAAACAATGGTGTGGCCAGCTGAAGGTGATCCCCTTTTGATGGAACAACACCCTCTGCTTGCAGACAGGCCCAAGGGTTCAGAGCAGACCCTGCCAGCTTGGCAGAAGGGGCCCAAGGAGGAGTTTTTAGGGATTAAAATGTAACACAGGATGGTAATGTAATGATTCTTATAGGCTGTATGTAAATGCTACAGGATTTGTATCTTGTACTAGATTGGTTAGTGAGAATCAGAATATTCAACACAGAAGAAGATTCATTGTATTGTACCGGGAACCTCCCTCTCTTATGCTTCTGCTCTCTTACCCTTTTACTCTACTCTCTCCCCCTCTCATCCTCTCTCCCCTCTCTTCTCTCAGGCCTGCTCTGAGCTGTGCCTGGCAGCTCCCAGCAGGGCCCTGCACCCAGCCCTTTGCAATAAACCCCAAGTTCCAGCCCTGGCTGCAGAGATCTCTGGTCTCCGTCCATCCCCACCATCCTACCCCTGACACTCCTACAGGGACACAAGTCAGACTGTGCCATTCCTCGATGCTGGCTGTTGTTCAGACTGTGCCATTCCTTGATGCTGGCTGTTTTTTAGACTGTGCCATTCCTTGATGCTGGCTGTTGTTCAGACTGTGCCATTCCTTGATGCTGGCTGTTTTTTAGACTGTGCCATTCCTTGATGCTGGCTGTTGTTCAGACTGTGCCATTCCTTGATGCTGGCTGTTGTTCAGACTGTGCCATTCCTTGATGCTGGCTGTTGTTCAGACTGTGCCATTCCTTGATGCTGGCTGTTGTTGTTGCTCTCCCTGCAGGCAGGGGGACAAGTCAGACTGCACGTACATCGTGCTGAACGGCCGCCTGCGCTCCGTGCTGCGCATGGACGACGGCAAGAAGCACCTGACCGGGGAGTACGGCCGGGGGGACCTCATTGGAGTGGTGAGAGGGGCCTGTCCCTGGGAAATGGGGTTTGCTCCATGCCAAACACACTCACTCCTGCTCCCATCCCTCAGGCAGCTTTAGGGCTTCCAAAGTTGAAAATCTGGGAAACTCCTTCCAGCCTGGGAAGTTTTTATAGTGGTTGCTGAATGGGTTTGAAAAGAAAGATAAACCCCAAAGAGGTTGTGTTCTGCCCAGTGCTCTTCTGTGCCATGGGTTGCTTTCCTCCCTTTCCTATTCCAGCCTGTTAAATTAGGGCTGGAATAATTGCAGGAATGTGCACTAACTGGGGATTTGAATAAATTCAGTGCCATAGGAGGAGCCAGTTTGGATGAGCCCCACCCTGGAAGTGAGTGGTCCAACCTCCTCAGAGTTAGCAGAGCTGACTTCAAAGCTTTGTCAGGTTTTTCAGGGAGTGTATAATTATTATAGCTATTACAGCAACTGTTCATTTCAAAATTGTAGTATTTATCCATATTTCATTTCTCTCTTATGTTCATTTTTTGTTCCTCAGACCTAGTTTTGTTTCTCAGACCTAACAGCAGAAATAGGAGTCATAAATATGCGTGGCTTGTTTGATTTTTATATTTAAAATCAGAAGATTTCTGAAGTTCTGAGCTTGTTGTTCAGACCCTTTTCTGCCTTCTGAGCTGAAAACTAAGCACTGAAAATGTATCTGTTTATAGGCAGAATTAGCATAGCTCTGAAGCCATGTGAATTGGGATTAGTTCTATGGGAAGAAATTCCTTTTTATAGGAATAAAGGGGAAGCAGGAGTCTGAGGCTCCCCTTAGAGACCTGATCCAAAATTTTGTCCATGAGGCCAAAATTTGGTCCATGAGGCAGTTCTGGTGGTGCTCCCAGCAGAGACAGGGCTGGGCTGGGCTGTTGCTTGCCCCATATTTGATATTTCCACGTGCACAGGATTTAGGGATCTCTTCCCACACTCAGTGGGATTGTTTGGAGAAGCAGGCCCATGCTGGAATGTGCTTCTAACACGAATTTTATTTGTTTTTTTTCTTTCTTTGGGATACTTCATTAAAGGTAAAATGACTTGGTTTGACAGGAACTAAAGCTGACGTCTTTTGTGACTAATCACAATGGTGTGAGGCCTTTTGGGGTGTGAAGAAGGGATTGTCAGTGTCACATCCAGGCATTTCCTGCTTTCCTCTGCCTGTGATGTTCTGCAGCTTTTCACTGTCGAGCTCCTGGAGTTTTGCAGAGTTCCCAGGTTAAAAACAGACCTGTTCTACTTTCTGAGAGCAGTTTTGAGTGACAGGGCAGCATATGGTGCTCAGAGGGTGGGCAGGCCCTGGCACAGGGTGCCCAAGAAGCTGTGGCTGCTCCTGGATCCCTGGAAGATGCCAAGGCCAGGCTGGATGAAGCAGCCTGGGACAGTGGAAGGTGTCCCTGCCCATGGCAGGGGTGGCACTGGATGGGGTTTAAGGTCCTTTCCCACCCAAGCTTTTTTAGAATTCAGTGTTTCTATGAAATGGCCTAAACTCCACCTCTCTGTGCAGGTTTTTCCAGGCTGGCCCAGCTGTTTCTCTGGGCAGGAAGGAGGAGGGGAGTTGGTGGAAGGACTGGGCTGTGTTTGCTGTAGCAGGGCCTTGTTTGCTGCGAGTGCCCAGGCAGGGATACAGAAATACCCGTGCAGTTTGTGCCTAAAGCACAAGTCCCTGTTTTGGATCCGCGTTATGACATGAATCACGTTGGAGACTTCAGTGACTCTGTGGACGTTGTCATCTCCTTCCTGCCCACAGCTCCCAGCCCCACTGACTCACTCTGCCATTTGTTGGAAGTGTCTCCATGCTCTGGCTGCCTTTTGCAAACATGGGGGAGGATCTGTGAAGAATGCCAGCATTATTTCAGAGGGCATTAGCAAAGCGATATTTTTGCTTTTAAAAGTTTTGTTTATCCCCTTCTGCAGAATCTGTTATAAACCTTTAAAAACCTGCTGAAGGGTTGGGGTTTTTTTTCCCTGACATTAACATAATTGGGGTTTTGGGTGCTTGCAGGGAATGAAAGCAGCAGTTGGTGTTGGTAATTGGTTTTTTGGTGAACTGGTGGCTTTGTTCCTCCCCGAACGCCTCCGAGTCCCTCCCGTGTCACCCCTAATTGTGAGCACCAAGCAAACAGGGAGTCTTGTAGTCGGTGGCTTTTTGTTTACTGCCTCTGTGTCAGAACTTTAAAATGCCACCTGTCATTTGCATAAGAGATGAGGCTCTGCCTCTCCTGCTTGCAGGAGCACAGCAGTGCAGGATGAGGGATTTCAGACAGGATGTTCATTTTCAAGCGTGTGCCTGCGCTCCCGGGGCTCAACTTGTGGCTCAAACTGTTTTGTTCCCTGCACTGACTCAATGGCATCTGTTCCTGAGGTCTGTCAGTGCAGGGGGAGAAGAGCAGATTAGAAACTGAAGTTTCCTTCCCTGTGGAGTTCCTTGAGGAGCTGACAAGGACAGTTCTGTCAGGGGAAAAGGACCCTGACTCTCAGGGAGACTTTTTGGACGGACACTGGCTGCTGTTGTCCCTATTGATGGGCAGCTCCAGTCACTGTATCTGCTCACAACTCGGTTTAGAAGCTTCCAAGGAATTTTTAAAGGACAATAATGAACCTGTTAAATAATTCCCTCCCTGAAATACAGTTGACATAAGTCTTGCTTTCTAGAGACTAAGATTTGACTCAGGGGAAATCTTTTAATTTGGTGATCTATTGCTGTAGATGCACTTAGGGAAAAATGTTGAAATGTCAATTTTATCTACCAGCTAAAGGGTCTTGTTTCTTATATTATTATAATTTCTTCCATGCCCTGGGTGATCCCAGAGGATATCAGAGGAGACATCTGTGTGTTGATGGAGTGGAAGGGCTTCTCTTCACCAGCTACTTGTTTAAAATGCTTATCTTAGTCTCTCTTGATGTTGCTGCTTTGGTTTTGATCTTGATTAACCACTGGAAACTGTAGTTTTTACTCTTGCTCTCTTGATCTCATTAGCACTTTTTTGTGTGAGAGAGGATTCCCTTTAATTTGATTTTTGTGCCTATCAATAGCAGGTGTTGGCCCAGGCTCTGAGGTTCTGTTGTTCTGGCAGTGCTGCTGAGGCTGGGGCAATTATCCCCTGGTTTATTCCAAACTGCAGGGCAGGTTGTCAGAGCACAGGGTCACAGCTCCAAGCATGTGTTGAGGTGGGTGTTCTTTGCTTTTTGTACTGTTGGGAGGACAGCAGTGGGTGAGGAGAAGGCAACAAACCCATAGGAGCCATTCCTCAGAGTAATCTGCTGCTGGATTGAAGTTGTTTGTGCACTGCCTCACCCTTCCATCATTGAAGGTGATGGAACCTTAATGCAATGAGGCCTTTATGCAAGGCCACCTTTGTCTTCATTGAGTTCTGAAGGATGATTGTGGTGCTGGGGAGATTCCTGAGTGCCAGACAGGTCTTAGAGTTGACTCCAAATATTTTCCAGAGCTGGGTTTTTAGGTGGTGTAAGCTGGGTTTACTGGTAACCCCTCCCAGGCTGTGTGCAGGGTCTGACCCAAAACCAGTCACCTTTCCAAAACACCTGCTGAGGGGGGAAGCTGCAGCCATGTTTTGATTAATTCAGCACCTTTTCTGCTTCTCTTCAGCAACCAGAAAGTCCCTCTTATCAGGAGGGCTGCACACCATGACTTTTGATTGCAGAAAGTGCTGAACAAGTGCAGAAAAGCATTTGTGCACTGACTCTTGGAATACAGGGAGAAATTGCAGAAAAGAACCCTCAGCTGCCAGTGCTGCAGCACACTGGTCCTGCTGGGTAGGAAATCATCTTTTACATTCTTAGAAAAAGTCATTTTAAATATTTTCAGATGTTAAGCTGTTTATCTAATTAAGACAGCTAAATGTCCATGGCTTTTTTTCTCTCTAAAAAGTTGAAAGCCAAGAAGAATCTGTAAATGGCTTATGATTTCCTCAGGGGATTGGAGCATTGTCCTTTGGAAATGTAACACTGTTAGAAATCTTTAATTGCTGTGTAATCCTCAAAGGAATCACACAAAGGGAACTATCAGGATTACACTTGTCAGGCTTTTGTTCTTTATCAGTATTAATGTTATCAGGCAGCTCCAAAGCTGAATGTCACTGCACCCTCCTCTTTAAGGCTGCTTTGCTCTGCCTTTTTAAACATGTGAAATTTTTTTGCCAATTCCTTGTGTTTTTGTGGTTTTGTCAAACCATGACTACTGCATTTGCTGAAGCTGTAAGATACTACAAAGCTGTTTCAGGTGGATTCAGATTATTGGCACCTCAGGCACACTGTGCACAGACTGCAGTTGAGGGAATTGGTGGTGGGTGAGTTTCAGGAACAGAGCTGGAAGAATGGTCCTGCAAGGGATTGTTCTCTTTTCATCTCTTCCTCTCTCTCTGTTGGTAATATATTACTAAAAATGATTATTTTCCTAGCAGCATCTTAGGTATGAACTCGTATTTAAAACAACCAACAAAAGCAAAGCCAAAAAAAATCCAAACCATCCAGTGAAACCCACAAACAGCAAACCCCCAATATTTGCCAGCCCCAAAGGGAGGCAGAGGGAGCCTGAGGAATGAGTTCACATTTACACCACTGAATTAGTGTCAGAATGAAATGAGAAGCTGTGTCCTGATTCCCAGGCCCATCTTGAGAGTGTTTTTGTTAAACTCAAATGGCAGAGGGCTTGGTGTGCTGGACCATGTTATTTTTTGAGAGTATGGGGAGCTCTGATGACAGACAGTGATGGAAATTGTGACCTGCTGGGTTCCTGACAGGTGATTTCATGCATTGGGCTCTCATTCCTTAGGATATTGGGTGTCTCCTTCTGCTTCCAGCTGAAATCTTGTGATAATTCCAGCTATCAGCTCAACTCTTGATGCACATCCTGATCCCCTGCAGGACAGCTTTTTACTTCCCTTGCCTCCTTCTCCTTTCTCCCTTACATTTTGAGGGATGCCACATGGAACTGGGCTGGCTGGGAACAGCAAAGGCTAAAATTG